TTTTATTGTAATTTGTGTGCTGTAAGTAATGCAAATAAATTGTCTATCTATCTATCTATCTATCTATCTCTGTCCCATCCGTGTTTCTACCGTGAACCAGTTGTGTTTGCATGGCTGTGTTTCGGTTTGAAGGGTGGGATATGGCAGTGAATTTACTTAATTTTAATTTCTGTACCCAGACAGAGGAATAACACCTGAGTCACGAACGTTCACGTTCACGTTCACGTGCCTCGGCTACGCCTCGGCCCACATTTGCACATTCGTCCATCAATGCCTCAGTTGTTGGCCGCAGCAGTAATGTACTATTAATATTACATATTATATTATCCCCAGAACTAAAGATATATTCAAAATTTCTTCAATCATATGCCAATAAAATGTTCTAAATTTAGTTTACAAAGTTTGACGGAAACAAATTAACATATGTTGTAAATTTAATTTAGTTAAATTAAAACTTGTAATAATTACCATCTGTGGGCGACAAAAGATACCAGGAATGGCAAAATTGGAAATACATGTGTATTAGTAGAATTTAGAAAACTAGTGCCGTGAAGGGAAGCCGTAAGGAAACAATAGAATGCGTGTCAATTTGGAACTTGGCAAATAATAATATAAAAAACTATAAACAATATATGTGGCCTGTACACACACTATCCACACCATCAGTTGAGTCGTATGCTTGTCTCGCCATATACGTGTCATACAGTTAGATTCGATGATTGGTTATATTTTTAACTAGCTATGTTTCACAGCTTCATCCGCGTGAATCAATTTTTTTATACAACTTAATTTAATTTTTTTATTGTATAGATAACATTTTTGAATTTGGTTTTCTCTTCAATGTCTACTAATTTAAACCTATTCTTTATTTTTATGCCCGAGACACTTCTTTCTATGCTGTTTTTACATACTTTTAATTTTTTAAGATTTCTTTCAAATAATGGTCATGTTTGACACCCATATGTATGACAATATATAATACTCGTAGTAAACGCAAAATACTTATTTAAAATTTATAAAGACCATAGTAAATTTCCAATAAAACACTATATCGATTGATCAAAATGTTTGTTTCACTACCGGGATGTAATAATTCTTTATTGATTTCATTGATTTTTTATTAAGTGTTCGATACTTCAGTGTTCCAGTGACGTTGTTGTGGATTCGAATCAAATATGACACCCACACAATTTAAACATAATAATACTCGTATAAAATAAGGTTTCTTCACTTTATAGATAGATAGATAGATAGTATATATCATATATGTGTAAGTATATTTGTTATTCATATATATTTATTCGTTTATATATGTAATTTTAGTATGTATGTATATCAATAATTAGTAGTACCGCATTCGAGTATTCTGACACTTCCCTATGGTTGACTGGGAGAGAATGCTATTAGCATTAAGTCCGCCATGTACACATATTTGTACTAATGAATAAATAAATAAATAAATAGATAGATAATTTATTTACATTACTTACAGCACACAAATTACAATACAAACATACACATAATACACAGTAAAAGAGATAAAAGAATGTAAATAAAAAAGCAACAAAACAAAACAAAAAGCAAAATATATGAAACAACACTATAATAATAATAATTACTATTTCAGTATCTATCGTTTTATGAGTGGCTAGCTTTAACTTGAGACTTTGACTATGTTGTTTATATTTACAGAGTACAGAGGAATAACACGTGAGTCCTCAGGAATGACATCGCATGGGGGGTATCATGGGCGAAACAGTATACTCTGTTATGTCCATGGTACTGCTCATGTCTATAGGCGACGATTACCGCTTTCCATCAGGTGGGCCGTCAGCTTGTTTGCCATTCTAAGTTGTATAAAAAAAAATATTAATTATATTAATTGTAAGTGAAAGTGTCGTCTGTTGACTTGTGTAATATATATTTTTTTTTATAAAAGTATACACTGATGGCTGAGAATGAAAAGGCTGGTCAGTTAACCCATCGTGATGAATACACCTGGAATTCGACACGATGGTTTCCAGGGGGGGCCACGGGAAGATCGACCTGACTGGGTATATTGCTAGCAATGCGACAATCCTTTCCCCCCACAATGATGCTGTTAAACCCCACTACTGACAATGCCTTTCCCCCCACTAGTTATAGGTAGGTAACCTACAATTGAGGCGTCAAACACAGCCTGCTCCATAAATAGAGGATCAAACGAGGGCGTACCGACGTAAAGGCATCTGCGAATGACAGGGCGAAAATAGGTCGAAATCGTAGGTAGATTATACTATGTTTCGCCCACGAGTGTATATGTGTGGATTTTCCAAGTCGGTAACTATTTTTTTCTATAAGCATACATAAATACATAATATATATATATATATATATATATATATATATATATATATATATATATATATATATATATAATCGAACACATAATCTCTTCCTTTTTTGAAGTCGGTTAAAAAGTTCTGTTTGTTTAAATTATACTAGCTGGATCTGGCAGTGGCCGAAATTTGACCAAACCATATATTGTAATAAATAAATTAATTATGGTCATTGTTTGACATTCAGTAAGACTATAGACAAATATTACTAAAGACACACAATCTCTATTTATTCTCTATCTATATCTATTCTCAATTTAACCACAGACATTAAAAATAAACAAAAGAGTATATATGGATGTGTGTATCAAATACAAGGTAGTGTGTGTAATGTTTTTTTTTTTTATTGTTATTTATTTAATTTTAATGCATAATTTAAAAAAAAAGAATTAGCATTCTGCACTCTCTTGACAAACAATCTCTATTTATTCTCAATCTATATCTATTCTCAATTTGACCACAGACATTAACAATAAACAAAAGAGTATATATGGATGTGTGTATCAAATACAAGGTAGTGTGTGTAATGTTTTTTTTTTTTATTGTTATTTATTTAATGTATTTTTATGCATAATTAAAAAAAATATCATTCTGCACTCTCTTCGTTTCTTTCTCTCTCACTTCTCTAAATAAACTATAAGTGTGCCAAATTCCATGCTCCTCCATCTATGCAAATTTCGTAAAAAAGCAATACAAAGTATTTGCTTCACGTATTAATATATAAATAGTAGCAAAAATTACATTGACATTTTTACATTGACTAAACAACGATTTATCATTTTTAAAACTCTATTTAAATAAGCAATGTTTTAAATTATTTTCGCAGTAAGACGGATAAGGCACAAACAAGCATTATTAATTCATAAAGTGAACAAATACAGAAGCCATGCGCGGCTAGCCATTATCCAATAACGCCAGCGATACACAACTTCAGTCAAGGTCCGGAATTAAATAGATTGATCCTTCACAATGCACAAGGCAGTAGGTACATATGTATTGTACCTGCATAATTTTATCAGTCGCTCTATCTATTTAAATGTAAATCATTCATTGTAAATACATTAGTACTGCGAATGCTTGCCCAGAAGACTAGATCATGATAAGTAATAAAGTACTGACATAGTTTTTTTAAGTACGCATACTAACAAAAATCAAAGTTGTCTGAAATAAATAACAATAATTGATTTTATACATTCCTAAACGTAATATTTTTTTTTTATACAACTTAGAATGGCAAACAAGCTGACAGGCCACCTGATGGAAAGTGATAACCGTCGCCTATAGACATGAGCAGTACCATGGATATAACAGAGTATACTGTTTCGCCCATGATACCCCTCATGCGTTGCCATTCCTGAGGACTCGGATGTTATTTCTCTGTACCCAGTAAATTCACGCCGTATCCCATCCTTCAAACCGAAACACAGCCAGAGGACAGAGGACAAACAGGACAGAGGTACCCAAGCAATCGACTTTTGTACAAAGTCTCCCTCTGGTAATAGTCTAGGGGGAAGGGATTGTTAGTAATGCGGGACTACCAGTCCCATTTCTAGCAATATTCCCTAACAGGTCGGCCTCCACGTTGCCCCTCCTAGAAACCGTCATGATGGGCTAACTGACCTGCCTTTTCATTGTAATTTGTCATCCCTCACTGGTGCCCCGGCAGTGTATACCGTTAGCACAGGCGAAGTTACCATTATCACCCATTAAAAAAAAGTTTATAATAGCAAAAGACACGATAAAAACTTGTTGGTTTACAGTTCGTCCGCGAAAGAAAAGGCTGTATTGCGATTATAGACTTAGTATATAATGTATTACGTATTATATTGCTTCGCAAATAAAGGACGAAATATTATGTTGTATAAGTTAATCTTTCGTACTTTTCTTTTACGAAAGGAGACTGTAGAAAAGTCGGCTGCATGGGTACTTCTGTCCCACTCGTGTTTCTGTCGTCAAATAATTATGCTTGCATGTTTCGATTTGAAAAGTGGATTATGTTATCCAGGTTGTTATGTGGCTATGTGGTCCCAGGTTGTCTGTAAGAGATTACTTTTAGCGATAAAGCTGTGGTTGCCAACCCGCCTGCTAAACGTGTCAAATACTGGCAAAAACCTCTAGAGGCCTATGTTTAGCAATGGACAGTTTTTTTTTATGGGTGAAAATGGTATGGTGAACCCACCTGCGCTAACGGGATACGCTGGCGGAGCACCAGTGAAGGGTGATAGATGAGAATGAAAACAGGCCAGTTAGCCCATCATGATGAATTCATCAGGAATTAATCATGATCGTTTCTAGGGAGAACCAACCGACCTGGTTGGGTATATTGCTAGCAATGGAATTCTCAGTCTCCATTACTAACAATCCCTTTCCCCCCAGCAATGGACAGTTAACGACAGATATGATAAAAATAAATAAATCTTTTATTGACGTACTAAAACACTAGCGTAACAAATATTCTTCAATACATTAATAAATATATTTTGTTACATCCGTTGTGTATGCAAGTGACACGTTATGAAATTGGACGAAGTAAAAGATTTAAAATTTTAGAATAAAAATAGGTAAAAATTTGAAATGTAAGAAAAAAAAAACTCAGTAGAATTCTAGAAATATCTTTATTGGTTGAGCAAGAATTAAATTAATAAAATATTCTCGTTGCACTGTTTATGGTTTGTGAGAGATGGGATGTTTATCACAATTACACCATAACTCCGTCAGTTGTGAAACGATTTGGAAAATTCATCTTTTATCTGTAAGGATATACAAGTAGAAATTTTATAAAAATTGATTTAATAGTTTAGGCTTTACTTCAACAATTATGCTTTTATTAAATAAAAATCTTAGTACCTACTGCTGTGGGCAATTTTAAAGAAAGTAAAAGGTACCTTTGGTTTTAACCTAATAAGTATTCCATTACATTATTTCATTGGTATAAAACTGGCAAGATATAAAATATACATTAGACTGTATTAAAGATGTCCCAATATAAAATAAATAATATATTTAAAAAAAAACCCTATAAATAAACGTCAAGACATGTTTCACGATTTAAAGTTTAAAAATTGATAAATTAAGACTTAATTTTCAAAAAGAATTTTCAATATTTTTAATTACCCTTAGGTATTGCTCTGACGTTCGAGTAGAAAAAAAAATACAAAATGTAAATTAAACCATCGAACATAACTAACCTAATGTTTTTTTAAATATAAAATTATATAACATTAATGACTAAAGTGACTTACTTAACTTATAATTATAACTAAAACAAATTAATATCTAAATATAAATATTTCTCCAGTCTTATAACGGTTAGGAAAGTTCACCATGTATTGTCTTTGGTGTCATACACCATGTTTGTTTTGAATAAAAATACATGCTAAATTATATGAAAGGGAGAGAAATAAGGTTTTTGGTTTCTTCTGCCTACCCAGCAAAAAACTTCGCGTGAAGATAAAAATCTTTGGTTTACAAACTGTAATAAAATTTTAAATGGAAAAACTGGTTACACTTAACAAATAATTATATAAAATAACAGAAACTTATAGAAATATTCACATTAGCCTCACTTTAAATTAACTTTGGAATGTGCAATAATACATTTTGAAGATTAACTTATAAATAAAACATTGTTTTTTTAAACATTAAGGTAAAGTACTTAAAAATTTGTAGATAAACACATAAAAAATAAAAGATTCAATAGAATCTACAATATTATGTTACAAATACTTGTTAATTAGTTACTTAAGTACAATAGTAAAAATACAGAGTAATTACACATACAGAGAAGTCAAATTTAATTCATTGATAATTATTAAAATTAATAACTGACTTCGACATATCAGATAGCGCCATCTAGGTCCAAATAGGCACACTCGTCTCGTAAGATGCCACGTCGACAACACTTGATGTATATCGGCTTAAAACCTAGTGACCGGAGACTGTGACCTACGGAGTAGATGCCGGCGTATTGAGGTTCGCCCCGATGCCCCTACCTTACCCGTCCTCATCATCACAGCGGGTATAGATAAGAAGGACCACGCTACTACCAATACTCGTCTCGTGAAAATATTTGTACTGTCCGGGAATAGAACTCGCAATCTACGTAATTATTATTATATAGAGGTTATCATACATGGAACATAGAAACAACCTTTACTGAACAATAATGTAAAAAAATTTTTTTTTTTTTTTTATTTATGGCAAATTACGAGTACCACTTAATTGCGAATTCATATTGGAATATTATTAAAATATGAAAAACATGTCTCAATAGCAAGGGCCAAATTCGAAGGGGCTGAATTTGGCTCTTATATGATAGGCCAACTGGTGATACGACTGTTCAAATCTCATTCATTAGAAAATTTTTCAACCCCTCAATAATTATTGGAATATTATTTTAATATTTTAATAAAAAAAATATTGTTCAGAACACAAAGGCATGGACTCCACAAAATACACTGTGACGCCCATGGCCCTCCTTATTCTTGAGAATTGAGACATTATGCTTTCAATATCAAAAACTAACTACGTATACAAAAACGGCAGGACCAAAAAAGAAAAATATCAAAATAAAAAAAAACAAAATACATAATTGGAATAAAGTCGACTGCAAAATCACGCTCAATAGAGTTCTTTCAGAACAGAGACTGGCAAAAAAATCAGCTGTCAAAAACATGCTAATGCTGTCAAAACAAAGACTAGTGACTGCGTTGCTCACAGCGGGGAACAGGGACGAACGGGAGGGAGGAAGCATCTTTTTGCGAATGGTCATTATCAAATCATCGAGGGGGGGGTCGAGATGAGATTGGGCATAATTTATACTCTGTATGATTATTTACTCATGTGACAAAAGCATATTATGCAAATAGCTGCCAGTGACAATCTGTACAATTTTTGGCGGGAATCAGTGCGGTCGATTCTGAGTCGCTATTTTTCTGAACCTATCACTTAAAATTTCAATTTGATATCACAGTAAAATTTTTATTGTAAACACCAATATGAACTAATTTTTTTGGTTATTTAAGTCAAAATTATTATAGTTTTAACTTATTTCAAGAAAATAACAAATTAAGATAGGAGATAAGTTTAGAGAAATAGCACTTAAAAATCGACCCCAGTATCTGATTGCTAAGTGTTGGTTTCGTTTTTTATTTTTCATCTATTGTTTAGACGACCAACAATCAATGTTAGGCTTCCGAGCTCCAATATAACCAGAGGGAGACTGTACAAAAGTAATCAGCTTGGCAACCTCTGTCCCATTCGTGATTCTACCGTGAAGCGGTTTTGTTTGCATGGCTGTGTTTCGGTTTGAAGGGTGGGATATGGCGTGAATTTACTGGGTACAGAGGAATAACAGCTGAGTCTTTGAGGAATAGCAACGCAAGGGGGGTATCATGGGCGAAACAGTATACTCTGTTATGTCCATGGTACTGCTCATGTCTATAGGTGACGAAGTACGAAAAAGTTTAGACACCCTATTTTACACGAATCATAGTACTAATTATTTCGTATAAATCGCTAATGAATACAAAAAAACTGTATTTTTTTTAAAAACATGCGATTATTAAGATGGTAAGTGACTATCGCCGACGATAGAGAAGACAACATTAGAGAAATGTGTTTTGCTTGCCTTTTTAATAGGAATATACTCTTTTCTTCGGTTTCAGCGTCGTATCTATTCAAAAATACGGTGCTTGGAAGAAAGCTTCTACAGAAACGTACGGGGGAGGACCGCCACTCACCCAAATGGTCGAGATGGAACTTTAACTTGTAGCGGGTTGTACAGTGATAAAATTCAGCAGCTGGTATTAATACAAATAAATTCTCTGAACACTCCCCATGATATATGCGACACAAAGCGGTCCAATACTGGTGGATCTAGATGGTCAGTCCATTCATTACAACTACCACGTCCATTAATATAACGTCCTCCACGCGAGGACTCGTAAGTTATAAGGCTTTGATCATTTTGCGATTTGCATTTTACACATCCGGATACAGTAAAGAATAAAAAATATTTATGCCCCTATTTCCAACATTCAAACTTCGATCCTCTTTAAATTAACAGCCAATTCCAATTTAACAATAATCTGAAACAACATCGTGTTGACAGTCTGCCTACTTATAATTGAGCAGTTGGATCACATGTTTTGTTGTAAAAATTTTCTTTCGTTAATACAATTCTCTAATTCATCATGATACTTGTCAATTTTAGAATCAAACCCTGGACTTTGCAGTTCATAATCGAAGCTATTGCCTGTTATGATTTTCTCTTGATTTAAAGTTGAATCGAAGCGGACCTTTTTTCCTGGCGTGTTAGTTCTGTTATGTGAAACATCTATATTATCTATGGCCCGTTCTTTTAATGGAGTCACATTCATATTTAGTTGGGTATTTCTTAATGTCTTTATTGTTTCATATTGATGTTCGATATCATCTTCGTCTACCTCTTCAATTTCAATTTCATCTGAATTATCCAAATTAAGTGCAGGATTCTCTATTCCCGAGTCTTTGGCTACAACTTTCTGCTTTGGTGGTTTTCTAGGTACTTCGTAAGGATTAAGCGTAGTGTTATGTTCAGGTTTTTCTCCTTTGAAAGTCCTCTTCAGTGTTTTTAAAACTTTCCTAGACAATTTATTGCTAGCTTTCAATATTTGGTGTTTAAAATCTTTCTTGTTCTCATTAGACTCACTAGAACTGTTGCCTTCATATGTATTTCTATTCAAATTCATAATATCAACAGCACTGAATTGTGACACGTCACACCCTAATATTTTGCTTTGTTTATTGTAATTTATGTCATCTAATTCATCGCGAACATTCTCGTATATGGGACTCTCTGCGCGGTAACTGTCAACATTTTCATATTCATGATGATTATCAACATTTAGAGACTCATTCACAGTTGATATTGTGCTGTTAGTGTCACTTACAAACAGTCTGCGAGGCAACAAATTGTTATGGTTTTGTTGTGGCTGCACTGCAGCAGGATTGTTTGTTATTTCAACATTATATTCTAGTTCTTTAACTTCATTATCTAGAAATGGATTTTCTGTTGTTTCAGCATAATTCATATCTAGATTTGGATCTAGAAATGGATTGGTGATTTGTTTACGTTCAGGAATGCGTTTCTTCTTCGTTATTATTGTTATGGTTTTGATTTCCATAATATTGCTTTCATTTAGATCGTCATCTAAATAAAGAGATTGGTTTGTTAAGTTAGGGGAATCTAATGCTAGTCTGTCAATGAAACTAAGGTTTAAATTACTTGTATTATTAATAAATATTTGGTTTGTAACATTAGTTTGTATGTTTGTTGTGTTAACAGAGGTATCTAGATTGTCGTTTCCTTTATCAGTATTTACAGCAGTGTTTAAAGATTTCTGTTCAAGTATTGATATACCCGAATCCATTCCTATTTCACTAATATCAGGACGAAACTCAGAAACGTCCATAATGTTGTTATCATTGTTTTGAAGAATTGAATTCTCTGTACAATTATTCTGGGGTATAGACATATCAGTTAAGTTAGCATATACAGGTTCAACAGTACTATCAATAGTAATTTGCGGTGTATTTTCTTTGAATTCTGAAGGTAAACTACTATCGAAGGATTTCAAATTTTTACGTACATTCTCCAACTCTCTAACCAGGAGTTCATTAACCGCTGCTTTACTCACACCAACATCTAAGGCGGTGTTCTCAAAAGCTGCAATATCACAGCTTTTCGATCTTTTACGTTTCTTAATAGGGACAATTTCCATAGCTGTGTTACATATGGGATCTTCATTAACAAGGAGATCGAGAGCCGGGTTTAGGTACGCCGTGGGACAAGGTGTAACAATCTTCCTCTTCGCTTTTGTACAAGGTATAACTTCAAACTGATTGTTGTCTATGGAGTCCATAATCAAACTGGAAGCAAAATAATATTTAAATTATTAAAATATTTATAAAATTTATAACTAATTAAGTTAATAAATATTATAATATCAATTATTATTTATTTATTTAAAGGATCACAAAAAATATTCAGCGAAACGCTTCAATACAATACACTAGTTAATTAGGGCTAACCATTTAGAGGTAGCCACAGCATGTTTTGCATTTGTGAAACATTAATAAATAAATATATGAATATATCAATATTTATGTCGCAATACACCCGGCAAAAAAATACAGAGCGCCATCTATGAAAAAATTAAGACACTATTACTACAAAGTATACGCCACATTCGAAATTATTAAGATCTAGTAAGAGATGCGTTTCTTTACCAGATGGTGCTATATTATTCATTAGAAAAAAAAAAAAAACAAAAGTTTCACTTGTTTCTGCCATCTAATTCAGAATGAACATTTATTCACAATTGGCTTTCACCACTGTTCAACTCGCCATCGGCAGGAAATACACAGAGATATTAGATTTATGTGATTTTAAAACACTATAGACTTATATGTTTTTAAAGAGAGACATGATAGGTAAGAATAAAGTCAGGTCCATTGGCCTACTGTGTGAAACTCAGCAGAAATTAACCCCCATCGAGTATCTCTGCTTATACTAAAGGTAGTGAACCCTTATTAGTGGGGGGAAAGGGATTGTTAGTAATGGAGACTGAGAATCCTATTGCTAGCAATATACCCAACCAGGTCGACCTCCACGCGGTTCCCCCTGGAAACTATCATGGTTAATTTCTGATGTATTCATCATGATGGACTAACTGGCCTGTTTTCATTTTCATCTATCGCCCTTCACTAGTGCTCCGCCAGCGTATCCCGTTAGCACAGGCATACCATTTTCACTCATCAAAAAAAAGAAACCTTTATTAGTGTAGACAATTCCTATAGCATTAATTCCACCTTTTGTACCACATTTTATTGATTAATAAAATTAAAATAAATAAATAAAAAATTTATCACAACTGATGTACCCGAAGAAAACATGGAAATGCAAATGATCCCATTTTTACATATCCTAATAATAGTGTCTGATACTCTGATGTTAATATCTGATACTCCGATGATGATATTGATAACTAAATAAGGTGAATATTTAAAAAAATATGCCAAGAATTCTATTCTTATTTAAGATCATCGCCAATTGTATTAAAACAAATTCGTTCCGCTAACAAATACAAAAATGACTGAATATTTATCTTTTCAAATTTATAATTAATAACTTTGATAAAAAAGTGTCTTTTAGTTCATTGAGAATATAGACATGGTATTTTTGAAATTGAGTTTCCCTTATGAATTGGGTCAATTAATTAAGATAAAAAAAAAAAAAACAAATATCATAGTCTCCGAGTCAGATAACAAAATAATCTCATTATTCATACCAGTCAAACAATTTAAATTTTTTTTTATGCAGTAACTGAAAATCTTTGGTTTTCCTATTAAGCAAAAAACACTTTTTGCATTATTGTGGTACAAATTACAAAATTAAAAATTACATTATCACATACTATGTTACATAAAAAAAAATTGTGTATCTGTCTACTACTAATACCAAGTATTGTATTTCTGTGTATCTCTTGATGCAAATAAAAAGTTTGCCTATTTATCTATCTATTAATAATACAAATATTAACTAACAATTCTCAAGTTACTATTATTTCTAAACAATTATTTACAAATTTTTATATTTCATATTCATTAAAAGTGTTTTTTCTCGTAAAACCAGTTACTTTGATACAAACTAAACCAATAAATTGATTTTGATAAAATTTCCATAGCACTAAACTAAAACTTTTCATATAAAATATATTTTTACAAATAGGTAGTTACAAATGGAGTTTTGAGCAACAAATATAAAAAAAAATAACAAACAAAACTGAAAATCTCTTTTTCAGTGTAATTAATATTAAAATTACATGAATGTTATGTAATAACTACATAACTAACGTTTAAGTTCGTTATCCCTTTAACTATCACAGATTATATAAAAGCTTAGAAATTATTAAAACTGTTTTCGGAAATTGATAAAAATAAAGTCATTATTAGCCTACGAAATGAATAACCCTAATTAATCTATGAATTACACAATTTTATTTAACAATTACTATGTTATTTTAAAATCGTATAGAAACTACGAAAAGTTTATCAATAACTCACCTCAATTATACAAAAGTACAGCATCAAACATATGTTTTAATAACACTGTATCACTCCGAATATAGTTTTCTTAAAGTTTTAATTTACTGGAATAAATAGTTATATTATTTTCATTCACCATTATTATTTTTTTTATTTAGTAAACAAAAGATGATGTTGAGCATGGCAGATGGTAAACGACGGTTAAATTTCGTATAACATGACAGGTGCCGCCAGTAAATTCCAGTTGCCAGCATTTATAAATTATTTACTACTATTAATATTTAAAGTAATGATCGTTATTTTCCATTCATTTTGGAAGTTATTATATAACCAGAAAAAAATATGTTTTAATTTGTTTATGTCGTCAGAGAGCCGTAATTTCTTGAATAAAATATATCATATCTAATTATATTAACATTTCACTGAAAGAAATGCAGTGTAAATAAGTTCCAAGTGAATGTAAGATGCGCAAGCATTAGTATAATGAAATTATATACTGTTACTATTAAATGAAATAAAATACTGTTATCGGTACGTATTTATTTGTATACTATTGTTAAATTTTCAATTTTTAGACGGTTTTTTATTGCAAAATCAATTCCTATAACATTGAATAAAATTATAAAAGGTGTATGAACAAAGATGTGGTTTACTTTTTTAAATATATTGCTTATATATTTTATACATAGATTTTATAATATCCAAGAATATGATAACTTTAACCTTAGCGAAACCGTGAGCTCAAGTACAGATTGGTTCAAATAAAAAATATCTTCTAACTCCGATTAATTCTTACTTATTTTAAATTTTCAATGCAAGCGATAAGTCCTACAACTGTTTTGATAAAAAATACTATTATCTGCATAACTATTGACTACATGATATTTACAGTAATAAATAGAGGGATCAAATAAGCTAGTTATAGAAAAAAATAAAAGAAATATAACATTTTATAAAAATATATTGCTACAATTTAAAATCACAAGTTTCAGCTATATAACCGAAACAAAATAAGTACTATAAATACATTATATCACAAATAATACAAACTAATCTAATGGAATATAAACAGGTACAATGTACAAAATTTAAAACCACCACCAATAAGTACAAGAAACCGATTGCTGGCTTTTCTTTCAATGTGACACGGATCAAAACCAGTATATATCCATTTCAATACAAAATCATACTTTTGTATTTCTAAAAAGAAGATAGATAAATCTCGCGATGATCACACATGGCAGAGGAAACGTAAAGAGTGGTGGTATTGTGCCGTCTTCAATAAAAACCCGTGTAAATGGCGTTTTATTTTAATATATACAGCAAAATTAAGATGCAGTGGGTTACAAATCTTTTATATAGGTGAATATAATTACCACATATCATAATAATAGTGTGTAATTATTGTATTTTTCTCTATTATATAAATCGTCACATTGTTATCTTAAAAAAAACTTACCTACACAGTTTTTCGACAAGTCATTTCAACTCATTATATAAAAAAAAATGACATTAGAAACATGTTGTAATCTTTTATTTTCAACATAATAATAAATGCAAATAAATATATATAATTAAGTACCAACAATTGTAAGTATTGCGTCATTATAAATAAAGAACTTCTGTAAATAGCTATAAGTGCACATATTAATTGACTTGTTCTACTAAACATTACAAAGTTGTATGCAAGCCTTATTGGATTTGTCTCATTTTCTTGTTATTTTCAAATTAAATTTAATCAATTAATCGTAACATGATAGAAATGTAACATTTCCCGTGCTATTTAACATTAGGTACCAATATACTTTCAAACAATGCAATCAAATATGTGTTTCATAATACTTACTTTTACAGACTGAGCGATTTGCAAAAAATTAATAACAAACTATACTTACAACAAAATCTTAGCTAACATGATATGCACGCAAACAAGTATTTTTATATTTATACAAACTAGAATATAACATTCTTGTTGTTTTATTGATATTTCCTATTTTTTTTTATTTCATTAATATTCATACAAAAAACAAAAATCTGTATGCTTGTTTTCACTTTAGATTCAATCTAAGACAAAAAAGTGTAATTTCTTTAATTTGACATACAATTTGTAAGAAACTACCATTTTAATTAAAAAGGTAATAGAAATAAAACGAAAGACGTATAGGAAGAAATGCTTTCTCTTAATTCGGCTAATCACTCAATGAACATTATTAGTCTTTATTTATAATCAATTCTTTCTAGTAACATATATTCTTATTTAAAAAAATATATTTGTGAGTTCTACTCCCTAACTGGCAAGACTTTCCCCAAACCATATAAGCGTGGCAAGCACATTAACGTCTTTATATAACTCCGTTTAAATTCCTATATTTACAAAGGTAATATATTAAATTTTATTCCCCTATCATGAACCATGATATCGATAAATCCTGATTTTCAGTCTAATACAAATTGTAACTTTTTTTAAGTACATTAATACTTCGACTTTTGAAAAATTTCAGTCATTTATTCAATTCATAAATATCTGACAAATACTAATGGTCTCTTTATATACTTACCAATGTGCAGTTATATAATTTATTTCCGCGTTTATTATTCCATATATTTTACCTAAAAACGTATTGCCCGTTTAGAATAATTAGTTATCACTTTCAAAAATATCACGGCGACAACATAATAGAGTATTTATATTACATAATTATATCTAATATTAAATTATAAGTACATTTCACTTCCCACCCAAGATAATTTACACAGCATCCCAACTCCATCCTAAAGTCATGGCAAATTTTAATAAAAATATAAATAGCATTTAATACAAAATCAATGGTTAAACCCCAAATTGATAAATTTATCTGGTATGTCGGCTTATAATAACAAAACTTAATCTATATCTAAACTCTTGAATGAGTCTTCTACTTTGTCTCCCTTCTTGTTTGGTAACACGGCGAATCTCTGCGCCTCTTCAGCTTTGAAATAAGGTTCCAAGGCCCTCAGCGTCTCGATATTCTGGTTATTAAGGGTCTGGGTGTCGGGAAGGGAGCCTCCAAAATCGGAAGGAAGCGACGACCGTGGAATAACCTTGGCGTAGAAATCGTCTAAATTCTCATCCTTTTGGTGGAATTTCAACTGAAATATAACATTATATCATTTATTTATTATATTTTTCTACACTCTAATGATACAAAAAAAATATGATAGAGGTAATCAAATGTACAAAAACGAATTTAGCTCTAAGAGTTTTTTTTTATACAACTTAGAATGGCAAGCAAGCTGACAACCCACCTGATAGAAAGTGGTAACCGTTACCTATAGACATGAGCAGTACCATGGACATAACAGAGTATACTGTTTCGCCCATGATACCCCCATGCGTTGCCATTCCTGAGGAGTCAGATGTCATTCCTCTGTACCCTGTAAATTCACGCCATATCCCACCCTTCAAACCGAAACACAGCCATGCAAACACAACTGCTTCACGGTAGAAACACAAATAGGACAGAGGTACCCAAGCAATCGGCTTTTGTACAAAGTCTCCCTCTTCCAGTAAACCTAAAGTGGAAAGGAGCATCAATGTCAGCGGGTAGGTTTATATAACTATTACTTATATATACACTTACACATACAAATAAATACATATATGTTCATAAAGATAGAAGATGCTCTTCAAATCAAGCCTAATCTTTAGGGATTGATTCTCACGGATAGATATGGGAAGAGAATTCTAAAATCTAGTAGCAAGGACGGTAAAGGACCCACTATAGCGCGTAAACGTGTGTGAAGGGATTTTAAAGATAAGAAACTTCTAGAATATTATTGAATAAATATAACATTTAAATTTAAATTACAAATATCATCATTACATCGATAGTACTAGTAAAACCGGTATAAGGTCAGATAGTCAGATAAAGGTACTTATTACAATATACTGTGAGATATAAAATACCTTAGCAATATATAGACACCTACTCAAAAAAAACGCATGCAAAGCATGAACACGCGCTAATATTATCAAATACATATATAGGATTACAGTAATGAAATAGTGCAATCTCAAAGGATTAGACAATATCTTGTTTATAAATTGTAGTTTCTATTCTATATGTGAATTCGTAAAGCAGTTGTGTTTGCATGGCTGTGTTTCGGTTTGAAGGGTGGGATATGGCGTGAATTTACAGGGTATGGAGAAATAACATCTGAGTCTTTAGGAATGGCAACGCATGGGGGTATCATGGGCAAAACAGTATACTCTGTTATGTCCATGGTACTGCCCATATCTATAGGCAACGGTTACCACTTTCCATCAGGTGGGCCGTCAGCTTGTTTGCTATTCTAAGTTGTATAAAAAAAAGGTACCTATGACTTTAAATTATACATATGATACCAATAGATAGTGCAGCATAACTTCTGCACACCTAAGTCCAAAATATACCATATCATCAACAGCATAGCATTAGTATATAGCTTAAAGAATCTAACTTAAAGATCCTCTTTTAAGAGGAGAAGGATTTAGTAGTAATGGGGACGTTAACTTCCATTACTAGCAATATACTTGGTCAGGTCTACCTCCTCGTTAAATTTGTTGTTAAATTCGTCACGATGGGCCACTGACCTAACTTAATCCTCATCTACGAGTATCGTTACTCACTGATGCCCTACCAATGTATACCGATAACGCGGGAAGGGTTACTATTTCATTATCATCCATTAGAAAAGAAACTTAACAATTCCCGAGTTCACTATTTCGTATCGGAATATTAAACTACACCTGGGACATAGTTCAACACAAATGTTTAATGACATTAGAATATAATTCTCGATTTTCATATTTAAAATCTATTAATATATAATTTATACGGGCGAAGATATAAGGACTTAGAACCTGTTTTCATGTTTATAATAATATCTGATTAGTACGTATGGTTTTCTATAAATACATTGACATTATAACAATGTAGTATTTCTTTTTTCTTTAATACAAATTGATAAACAAGCTGACGATCCACCTGATGACAAATGGTTCACCTATAGACACGAATAACGTCAGAGACATTACAGAATTCAATATGATGTCTATGGTATCGCTCATACGTTATCATTGTTGAGGACAGTGTTGCTATGCCTTTTTTTGTAATTTCACTGCTTTATCCCACATTTGAAACGTATCGTAAGAGGCAACTAAGCGAACTTAATGGTCAAGAGATGAGCAGTAGCGTCTTTCTTAAACATCATCAAAAGTCTAATTACGGTTGCCAACCCGTTTGCCGAGCGTGGCCAATACTAGCAAAATCCTTCTTATGTGGGAGGCTTATGTTCAGCAGTCAATCTATATATGAAATAAAAAGTATAAACTACTTACCATGTCGAAGAATTTCTTGTCCATGAATGGCTTGATGAGCAATATTAGCTTGTCGACTAGCGCTTCAGTGTTCAACACGTGGATTTCCTTCATGCGGACTGGCAACGCCTCTTGGACAAATTGGAAGAACTTGCGAAGGTGCCTGCGAATTACAATTAAACACCTCAATTTTTTTTTGTACTTTTAACACCGCGCTGTTTCAAACTATACAGAGCTTGTACTATAAGTACTAAACTACTTTAACTCTTTTTTTTTGTAAATACCTATTGTATATAGAAAACATAAAACCAAAATAAACTACTTATTTGTTTATATTTGTTTATTCATAAATACAATTATTTGTATTTTACAGGAATCTAACCGCGATCATCGGGAGGAAGACACTGTTAGTAATGAGATCTAATAGTCTCAATGCTAGCAATGTACTCTAACAGGTCAACCTCCATTCGGCCTTTCTTGAAATCCGTAGTGGTAAATTACTGTTGAATTCAACACGATGGACCAACTGACTTGCCTCCATCCTCATCTATGACGTCTCACTGGTGGCCTTGTCAGCATATACCAATAGCGCAAACAGGGTTACTATTCTATTTATCATCTATTAAAAAACTTGCAACTATTGAAAGAGATAGTGGTATGTTAAATCCTAAGGCCACTAAGATCATTCCTAATATTCAATTCCATTCAATCATTTATTGCTATTTCACGTTGTAACAATATAGGTTTTAAGCTATTAAAGCTAAAGATATTAGAGTTAAACCAAGGGAAATGCCAACACTGCATACGCAAAAAGTAGCGAAACACTATGAGTTAACGTGGTCATTCATGACAAAGAGCGGTAAATAATTATTTCTCCTGAAATGGTAAAATAGCTAGATTGGGCCCTGTCCATTACTCGTTAACAGAGAATGGCGATTGCGCATTCGATTTATACATATTATATGGTAAATTTGTTAATTCATTGTAAAATTAATTAGTAATTTAAAACAAAAAAACTATAATTTGCATGCTTAGTATTTATTAGCTGAATATGGAACTGTCTACTTATTAAATAAGAACTATGTATCACCTATTCAATGTAAATAAACTATTCTATTCTATTCATACTACAGAAATAAAAAGAGCGTATCTCACACGTTTTCTCTCAGCTTTTACGAATGCAGTTTATTTTCGAACCAAACTGTTAATTTTGTTACCACTCTTCTTCGTACAAAATAAATTCTTTTATTCTCAATCACTTATAGAAAGATAATAAATTCACGTCAAATAAAATTTTGTATAACTTTCGTGAGAATTATTTCAAATCTAATTTACTGACTCTTGTTTAGTTTAAATGTTCAATATTTGATCAAACATATGAATCACTGTTAAATTATTATAGAATGTATGGGCGCCATTAACACGTTAATACCATAAAAGATAAAAAAAAAACTTGTTGTTATGGGGAATATTATTAAGTAAGTTGATATGTTTTAATAGAACAGGAAACCGAGCGCAAATATTTCTCGGATGATAATAATTGATTATTTAATTAATTACGCATCTTTTACCTTTGCTTATCCTTTTGAAAGCTAAGAAAAATATAAAATATCTTTGAAATTCATATTTTTTTATCTTGCAACACAGTTTAAAGTTAAAACTCTAAGACATGTGTCTCTTATTTAGTTGAAAAGCATTATTATAACATGGAAAGTAAATACCTCATATTTTATATATTTTAATCAAATAATTACTCTCAATTCTAAAATTTCCTATTAAAATTGTGATTTCGTGCACAGATATAATAGTTTCAATTGTATTATAGTACGTTATTTTATTATTCAATTAATTTTATTATAGTATAGACAATAGATAGAAATTAAGTTTCATATTTTTTGGCCAATTCTATTTTTAATATAGACATTCTTGTCAATTCATTCTATAGATTTCATTTAATCAATGTATTCCAAATAAAAAAAATCGATTTACAAACTATTTAGCAAGTACATAGTATATTACCAAATTATCTGCATTCCATTTAGAGTGATATAGTTGATATACCTAGTATTACATATATATATTACGATAATGATCGAATTTCGTATCTCAAATGTCATAATGTTTTCCATACACAAAAATATCCTTAATAAATGCAAATTGTCTACCCTGTGTAAAAGTACCTTTTAAAAAAGCAATGTTGCCGCTTTAGTCATTTGAGTAACCCTAAAGGGTCAATGAACAGCCTTAAAAACGCTACTATTAGGCTAGAAAATTAAAAAAATGCATTTAAGCCAATAACTATTTTTGATCATCGCTTGACAGTGACCTATGACCAATGACGGAGCAGTCTACTATGGTAGACCACGACGTAGACATAGACGCGTTGTTATTACATTGGCGCGTCCAGGTCACAGTCCGCGTGATCCTCATAAATTTTTAACTACAAAATAATTACGTATATCACGTGCGACGTATTATTTTGATTCATATGACGTATTTATAGGTATCGCGGCATCATAACTACACCTGAACCCAGCTACTCCTCGTAGACAACAGAGTTTTAACTAGGACTATCTAGAAATTGTATTTTGTTTTCGATAATGTATTTCAAGAAAAATTTGGTGTTCGCGTAATTTGAACTCCATGCCTACCATGATAAATGACTAATCATCACGTATCCAGTTTTGTATCTAAATGCGACAGATGATGTAAAATGAATAAGAATATCCAATGACCCTTAAATCCGCTGGACTTTTTATTCGGTCATGTGAAAAACTTAGTTTATGGCAAAACTGAATATGATATTTCAAGTGTGGATCAACAAAAATTACGAATCACACATACATTTAACAGAATTAAGCGTAAAACGGGCTCGTTACTAAAAGTGCAAAAAAACTACGTAAACCCGCGTATAACAATTTGTTCAGTGTAAATAAAGAAAATTGTTGTAAATAAATTGATAAACTTTTAAACACGCCAAGTTATTGTAATACATTTAGGATTTTTAGTGGATAAATAGCTGACATAAAGTCTTCTTTTTTAAGATAACTGAATAAACAAGTGTGTAAATATATTACAATATTTGACAGTTGAAAGCCTGATTAAAATGTGATGGGAAGTTCGTTGCCTTTTTTAAAGTGACTAAATACATTCACGTTGATAAGTAAATTACGATTTTTAATATCAAAATATCAATGGTTTTAGTAAAAAGCTGATGTTTGCTTTATGACGCGCTGTTGTAACGTTACGCTAAAACCGACGAAGTGAGCACGTGCAACAATATGATAGAGAAAAAGATAGTTATGAGGACCTTTTACATGCAGTGAAGAAATTAAAGTAATAAATAACTTTACATTTACATTTTTTATTTTAATAATTTCATGATACTTAGACATGAAAATGCTCTGTAGCAGGGAATGCAGATAATTTGATTGCACCACTTAATTTTATTCAATTTAATTACGAATTGTGTTATTATAGATCCTTTAATTAATACTTGGGCCGTTATGTTTTTTTTTACTATTAAAAACAGTATTAATGATTCATTTTTAGTTGAATCTTTGATCCTTTATTTTTCTTTAGCCGGGAATTGCCTTAAATTGTTTCAGTAAGTATAGAAAAAAAAAATACGTACGATAATCCACAACGTGTCAAGTGTCCCAACTTCACGCCTCGCATGTCAAAGAGGAAGATAATACCAGGCTGTGGGCCACGCTTAGTCAAACAGGCATCTGAAAATAAAAAAATACCCATTATAGTAGTTTATTGTTAACTGGCAACTCCCAAACTAGTACAGATTATGAGATGACATTAACATCGAGATTAATAGATCAAAACTAAGCATAGACTAATCTATCCATCTTTTTCTAAATGTAGAGGAACGATAAGCTTAACAGCATTCACAACTTTTGACTGATTATTTAAAAAGTGCTCTATTACTACATAAACAACTGATGGAAAATGGTAACCGTCGCCTATAGACACGAGCGGTACCATGGACATAATAGAATTAGCTTTTTCACTATTCGCGGCTAAAGATTTCTGTATTTGCGGATCTAATCAATACATATTATTCAAAAGGATTAGGTATCTTGTAAACACGTCGTCAAACGGACTTAGAAAAAGGTAAAATGGACTTTATTACAACTATACTAAAGTATATTGTCAAATGCTATTGCCGCTGTATAAGTGGTTCGATTTTCTACATTCACAGTTTCTGTATTCGCGGTATATTTACGGAATCTATACTCCGCAAATAAAGAGCTTTTACTGTATTTAACCAGATAATTAACCAGATTTATAATTTGCTTGGGTACCTCTGTCCCATTCGTGTTTCAACCGTGAAGCAGTTGTGTTTGCATGGCTGTGTTTCGGTTTGAAGGGTGAGATATGGCGTGAATTTACAGGGTACAGAGGAATAACATCTGACTCCTCAGGAATGGCAACGCATGGGGGCGCGTATCATGGGCGAAAAAGTATACTCTGTTATGTCCATGGTACTGCTCATGTCTATAGGCGACGGTTACTACTTTCCATCAGGTGGGCCGTCAGCTTGTATGCCATTCTAAGTTGTATAAAAAAAAAATTAAACAAGTATCATGGGCGAAACAGTATACTCTGTTATGTCCATGGTACTGCTCATGTCTATAGGCGACGGTTACCACTTTCCATCAGGTGAGCCGTCAGCATGTTTGTCATTCTAAGCTGTATAAAAAAAAATTAAACAAGTATCATGGGCGAAACAGTATACTCTGTTATGTCCATGGTACTGCTCATGTCTATAGGCGACGGTTACCACTTTCCATCAGGTGGGCCGTCAGCTTGTTTGCCATTCTAAGCTGAATAAAAAAAATTAAACAAGTTAACTTTTAGACTCATGCGCTGCGTGTTTTAGGTTTACGACTTTGGGAGTTATGAGGTAACAACCATTAAAAAATACAATCGAATTTCAAACCTACTTTTCGGAGTCGGTTGATAAAACACACTCGTGCCGGTTTTAATATATCTGGTTGCCCTTGTCAGGTCACAAAACTGGTTTGTAACGAAGATTATGACGCCGTAACTAGGTACCTACCTACTTGCCATTTATGTACTTACTAGAACTGGCTAGCTGACCCATAGATTTAACATAATATCTGCGGTGCTAGCTAACCAAAGCGTATACAGGGGAAAGGGATTGTTAGTAATGGAGTAAATTTGACCCATTGCTAGTAATATACCCTATCAGGTCGACACCCACGTAGTTTTAACAGGAAACCATCGTACTTAATTCCAAATGTATTCATCACGGTGGGCTAATTGACCTGCCTTTTCATCCTCACCTATTATCCCTCACTGGTGCCCCGCCAGCGTACACCGTTAGCGCAGGCGGGGTTACCATTCCATTATCATCCATTAAAAAAAGTCCCTTCCCTGAGAATAAAGACTACGTTTGCTTATAATTTAATTTTTATATATCAAATTTCAAACTTTTAGTTCATAAGGACAATAATTTAACTACAAAACAAAATAATAAATGCGAATACTCGAAGAAATTTCGTTTTTCATTTACTGCATCAATTTGCATGTCTATGCAGTTGATATTTAGAATGGCATTTCGATTTTTAAAAACAATAAAAATAATATAGTTTTACTTAAATTTATTGCTAAGTTATTCGTATCAAGCCACTGGATTATAAAGTTTATTGTTTTATTTATTTACATTATTTTCATGATCTTCCAATGTTTTATTTTTGCTATCAGTTTTTTTTTTTATTCTACTTAGAATGGCAAACAAGCCGACCACCCACCTAATGGAAAGTGGTAACCGTCACCTACAGACATGTGCAGCACCATGGATATAACAGAGTATATTATTACGCCTATGATACCCCCCCACCCCGCATGCGTTGCCATTCCTGAAGACTCAGGTGTAGTATTCTTCAGGTGTGGTATTCCTATGTACCCTATAAATTCACTGCCATATCCCACCCTTCAAACCGAAACACTGCCATGCAAACACAACTGCTTCACGGTAGAAACATGAATGAGACAGAGATACAAACAAAAACCAAGCAAACGACTTTTGTAGTCTCCATCTGGTAAAGTTGTCACGATAACAGAAGTATCATCAGTAAAAACTATACAATTATGAATGGTTATGCTAATTAAATCTGTAACACAAATTTTTAAATACTGTAACCACAAAGTATTTAAAAAAAAAAGTTTTTTGAGTTCTTTTTGGTTACAGTATGCGCGATCTTAATCAATCAACACAGTCAATAATATATTTTTATTATCATTGAAAGACAAAAACTTGTGACACTGCGACCTTTCGATGATCTTTTATGTTCACCCTTTTTTTTTAAAGTTCGCTGCTAATTCCTATCAGTGATATGATTTTTAAGATGTTTTTTGTATGCGATGTCTTTTATCTCCTCAGGATATAGTGTATTTTCCAAGGGAGATATATCGTTTATGTATGTGTGGGCTACAGCGACACATTCAGTGCTGCGGCGTTTCTTCCTCATTGTGACAAAATCTGCAAACACTTTTTGGGCATAATCTATCTTTATCCTCCTTCTGATAGAATACTCTCATAACAAGAGGACGCGAATGGCTTCAATATAATCCGATACATATTTATTATTCAAATTCAAATTCAAATTCAAAAATCATTTATTCATGTAGGACATTTTAGCCGCTTATGAACGTCAAATTTTTACATTATAATTTTATTTTTTCCCCTACCGTCCAGTTCGGTATATAGATCCAATTGAGAAGAACTGGCAAGAAACTCAATTGAATTACTTTTTTTTTAAAGCCAGTTTATTTACAATGTATATTTATATAGGTGTCTATGTCTAACATTAATGAAAATTCAGTGCATGAACAACTATTGCCATTATTGTTTCACATATTAATTGACTATACAATTAAAAATCTAATGTAATATAGTCTGACATACTTTTGCAAGATATTACGGTAATGGATAAATAAATTAGTCTTAACAGATCAGAAACAAGCGTAACTACAGAGGTTCAGGTTTACCGACATCATCTTAAACGATAGTTAACTAAACGGTTATTAAAATAATATAGAAAAAGAGAAATTAGTATTGTGGGAGGCGAGCTATCTAAGTAATGACAGCGAAAATTAATGTAAGAAGAAAACGTCGCTGTCATGTCTGTGCGGCTAGTCAGAAAGAAAGATGTGAAATATCTATGTACAATTTAATTAACCTACTTGATGGAAAATAAAGTGAGGATGTTGATAAGTGGTTATGAGGTGAATATGTACAAAATTTTTTTTACAAACACCACAAACCGTCAGCTTGTTGGGGGGAAAGGGATTGTTAGTTATGGAGACTGAGAATCCTATTGCTAGCAATATTCCCCCTGGAAACTATCATGGTTAATTCCTAATGATTTCATCATGATGGGCTAACTGGCCTGTTTTCATTCTCATCTATCACCTTTCACTGGTGCTCTGCCGGCGTATCCCGTTAGTACAGGCGGGTTCACCATACCCATAAAAAAAACCGTCAGCTTGTTTGTCATTCTAAGTTGTATAAAAAAAAAACCAATGAATTTGATGTTAAAGTAGTTGTGGACACTAAAATTGTTGTAACCGGGCGTTTAGAGTTAAATGGCTGATTAAAAGCCGGTGAAGTCGGGCCTTAACAAGTTAGTCATAATATACTATACTAGTAGCATAGTTAACATAAACCATAATAAATCGAAGGTCGAACAAGTGTCGCCAGTCGCAACGAAATATCGCAAGTCCGTGTGGCCTTGAATCAAACGCTCAAAGGTTTATAGAGATTGCGACAATTGCGACAATGCTATGGCAACGTACATACCTATTAAAAATAATACATTTTTCAAAAAGATTATTTGCAAATATAATATTTGAAATAATATAAGAGTCATCACAGCCTTCCAATGTCCACTGCTGAACGTAAACCTCCCCTTAGAGGGTTATGCCAAAGGTTGCCTTGATTGGCAACCGCAGTTAGGCTTCGGTGATGTTTCAAGAGAGACGATACTGCCCATCCCTCGCCCTCCCTTAGTCGCCTATTACGACACCCACGGGAAAGGAAGGGGTGGCCTATTTTACACCGGGACTCAACATTTTGTGTATTTATTTGAATGTAAGTTACTAAGTCCAAATAGTAATTTCGTAAAATTATCAATGTAAAAGTTTAAGAGATAAATTTAGAGAAATGGCATGACAGAATCGAATCCAATGTATGTATTAGGGGTAGGTATGTAGGTATATATATATATATATATTTATATATATATATATATATATATATATTTACCTACCCGAATATATACTTGAAAATAGATATCTGACCAGTATGAGCGATATTAAAATGGGTAATGACTTTTTTTCTACCATGAATGTCATAAGAAACTCAACATATATATATATATAATCTTTATTGCACAATAAAATTTTGTAGAAATGGCGAGCTTAATACCATGGCATTCTCTACCATTAGGTAAAAACATAAAACGTATGAAGAGCAGATGTGGTGAAAAATATGTGACAATTATAGCAACAAATTTAAATTATCATACATCCATGTTTTTTTTATGGATAATAATGGAATGGTAACCCCGCCTGCGCTATCGGTATACACTAGCGGGGTACCAGTTAGAGATGATTGGTGAGGATGAAAAGGCAGGTCAGTTAGCCCGGTTTGAAGAATTTAACGATAAATTAGTCACGATGGTTTCCAGCGGGAACCGCGAGGAGTTCGACCTGATAAGGTATATTGATAGCGATGGGGACTAACCTCCCCATTACTAACAATTCCTTCCCTATACATCCATGTTACCATGCCTGGTATCAATATTACCTATATAAACCAGATTTTTTCCATTTACAGTGAAACTCGAAGAGTCAGACCGAGATCGAACTATGCCCGATATTTTAATGTAAATCTAGCTTAATCGCAATACCTATATATATACTTATTTTGATATACCTTCATACAAATAATGAGATGCACGTTGCGCAAACAAATAATTATTTAAACATTACCTATTATTGGCGGATGTACATATACTGTGGAAAATTATATTTTACATAATATAGGTTTATCCGTAGGTATATCACACGGAAATGATCAATGTCATTGTAGTAATTTATATTTATATAATCCTATCATTTTGCCTGCTACTTTGGATGCGCGGATTTCAAAAGCAGATAGATAGATAGATACTCTTTCTCGGTGGGGAAAGGGATTGTTAGTAATGGAGTTTGACAGCCCCATTACTAGCAATATGCCCTATTAGGTCGAACTCCACGTGGTTCCCCCTGGAAACCATCGTGAACAATTCTTGTTGAATTCATCACAATGGGCTGACTGACCTGCTTCATGCTCACCTATCATCCTTCACTGGTGCCCCGCTGGTGTATACCAATAGCGCGGGTGGGGTTACCATTCCATTATCACCCATTAAAACAAAAGATAGATACTCTTTATTGTATCTCCATAACATTATAATAATAAACTTATTATAGATACAAACAATTACAAGAAAATATTACACTGAGAAAACAATGGGCGACCTTATCGCTGAGAGCGATCTCTTGCAGGCAACCTTTGGATGGAGAGGAATTATAAACAGTTTGATTTAAAGTACAAAACTCCTTTTTTTTTTAAATACATATATTTAGAGATATCCATACGTAGAATTGCGGTCCCGGCATAAAATAGGCCACCCCTTTCTTTCCCATGGCTGTCATAAGAGTCGACTAAGGGAGGGCGAGTGATGGGCAGCAGGGTCCCTCTTAAAACATCTCTGAAAACCTAACTTGGGTTGCTAACCCGCCTGCCAAGCGTGGCAACTACTGGCAAAACTGCCCTTATGGGGAAGGCTTATGTTCATCAGTGGACAGTTAAGGGCTGATATGATGATGATGATGATGAGCAGCGTCCCTCTTAAAACATCACCATGCCAAGCGTGGCAACTACTGGCAAACCCTTCACTAGTGGGAGGCCTATTTTATTTATTTACACTTTACTGTGAAGTGATACAAAAGCCGAACTTATCGCTAAGCAGTCTCTTCCAAGCAACCTTTGAATATTCAGCATTGGACAGTTAATGTCTGAATTAAATGATGATTGATGATTAAATGATGATGATGAGTGGGAAAAGGATTGTTAGCAATGGAGTTTGACAGCCCCATTGCTAGCAATATGCCTTATTAGGTCGACCTCCACGTGGTTCCCCCTGGAAACCATCGTGAACAATTCTCGTTGAATTAGTCACGATGGGCTAACTGACCTACTTCGTGCTCACCTATCATCCTTCACTGGTGCCCCGTCGGTGTATACCGATAGCGCAGGTGGGGTTACCATTCCATTATCATCCATTTAAAAAAAAAAAGATGATGACGTCGAATCAACATAATCCTATCACGCGAACGAAGTCACGGGTAAAAGTTAGGCGGTTATAAATTAATATATTTATCACTTAACACATCGAAATATGACCACTGGTTTATCTGATAACTAGGTATCATAAGCTTTAAGACGTAAACAAAACTAATAATGATCGATTACATATGATAAACACCGGTCCAAGTCACTGATACGTTGGTTTTGCAACCGTCATGATAAGCATTCCCCCCCAGCAGGTAAATCCTTACACACGTTAAAATATGTCTACAGGACGTAATGAATGCTTGATGGTATTCTCTACGAGTCAACCATTATACTAAACAGAGAGCGTAAATGGCGGTGTATTATTACATAATTTTTTTTTGATAGGTGAATTTTTTTTTGTTATACAACTTAGAATGGCAAACAAGCTAACGGCCCACCTGATGAAAAGTGGTAACCGGTATAGACATGAGCAGTACCATGGACATAACAGAGTATACTGTTTCGCCCATGATACCCCCCATGCGTTGCCATTCCTGAGGACTCAGGTGTTATTCCTCTGTACCCAGTAAATTCACGCCATATTCCACCCTTCAAACCGAAACACAGCCATGCAAACACAGCTGCTTCACGGTTGAAACACGAATGGAATGGTAACCCCGCCTGCGCTAACGGTATACGCCAGCAAGGCACCAGTGAAGGGTGATCGATGAAAATGAAAGCAGGCCAGTTAGCCCATCATAATGAATTCATCAGGAATTAACCATGATAGTTTCCAGGGGGAACCGCGTGGAGGTCGACCTGATTAGGTATATTGCTAGCAATGGGTTTCTTAACAATCCCTTTCTCCCCTACATAATATATTATCATATTGAATTGCCTATTTCTTCTCACCTATCATCCCTCACTGGTACCCACCATTGTCATTAAAAAAAAATACACCATTACGTAAAGGACATCTGGTGGGACTCGGCTTGTTTGCTTTTGTAAAGAAAGTAGATTAAAAAATAAAAATGGTACACCACTCACCAATAGTCATGAAGAGCAGCCTGCAGCCAAGCTCGAAGTTGTACTTTGAAGGTTCCGTATTGTGGAGCCTGTGGAAGACGATGTCGTAGCCCGCGACAGATCTGCCTGGCAGCACCGAGAACTCGCTGTAACAAATTAATATCATTATAAATTAGTTCAATTTGATCCCAAATAGATAGTCGAGGGTTCCCCCGTATTGTTAGTAATGCGGACTACCAGTCCCATTGCTAGCAATATACCCTATCAGGTCAACCTCCCGGTGGTCCCTCCCACCCCCCAGAAACCATCGTGCTGAATTCCAGATGTATTCATCACGATGGGCTAACTGACCTAACTTTTCATTCTCACCTATCATCCCTCACTGGTGCCCCGCCAGCGTATACCGTTAGCACAGGCGGGGTTACCATTCCATTATCATCCATTGAAAAAAAAATGTTATTTCTTAATATTATGATTTTTTTTATACGACTTAGAATGGCAAACAAGCTGACGACCCACCCGATTGCAAGTGGTAACCGTCGCCTATAGGCATGAGCAGTGCCATGGATATAACAGAATACACTGTTTCGGCCCATGATACCCCCTATGCGTTGCCATTCCTGAGGATTCAGGTGTTATTCCTCTGTACCCTGTAAATTCACGCTATATCCCACCCTTCAAACCGAAACACAGCCATGCAAATACAACTGTTGAGGGGAAAGGGATTGTTAGCAATGGGGTTTAACAGCCCCATTGCTAGCAATATGCGTTATTAGGTCGTGGTTCCCCCTGGAAACCATCGTGAACAATTCTTATCGAATTCGTCACGATGGACTAACTGACCTACTTCATCCTCACCTATCATCCTTCACTGGTGCCCCGCCGGTGTATACCGATAGCGCGGGTGGGGTTACCATTCCATTATCACTCATTAAAAAAAAATACAACTGTTTCACGGTTGGAACGTGAATAGGACAGAGGTACCAAAGCAAACGACTTTTGTATAAAGTCCCCCTCTAGTAACTGTATTATTTTAGTAACTGTAAAAAGAACATTTACACACCTATTTAACGGTAAATATTGCTGAACAATTGTAATTAAATTTAAAATTTGTTACTGGCAATCACCAATATTTAAATATAGTAAATAAAATTGATTAATTCATAATATCAAAGCCAGAATAGGAAAATTTTATATTAAAAAACAAATACGCAAATTACGGACTGACGCAGTTAAACAGTTCTATATTTGTACTATAAGTTATTATGTTAAAATATACCCGTAACTTGTACTACTCGTATTTCACAGTTTATTTTTATATATATCTAAACATCTGACTGGTTTATTTTGTCGACGGTTAACAACTAACAGCTCTATAAATGACAAGATACAAGATAATTGTACAAGTTTTTCAACTAACTTTAAATAGAAGGCGTTCCTCGATTCGGCTGTATATTTTTTATTTATTTTATTTATTTAATACTTTATTGTACACACCAGTTACAAGAATATGACAGAGGTAATCAAATGTACAAAGGCGAGCTTAACTCTTAATAGAGTTTTCTTCCAGCAAATTTATAACTGCGTTAGTTATAAATCGATTTAAAAATTCTTTTCTTATCTAAAAGGATATATTTACAGAACAGTCCTATAAAAATTTTATCAAAATCGGTTCGGCAGTCTCGTTTTTTAAATCGAAATAACTGATATTGTCACAATTGAAGTAATTTTTCTTTGTGAAACATAATCTTAAATATTGTAATTTACAAATAAGTAAGTGAGAAACCTTTTTTTTTAATTAAAGAAATAATTTTTACATGAATATATTAATAATTTACATTTACACTAATTACTTTTTTTCATTCTTCGTATTGATAGAATAATTCCTAAAAAAAAAAACTAAAAAGACGCGTGTAAGAAATGTCTACGCATCCTGGTATGAGTATCAGACAATTTTGCAATGGGCACTACCCATATTTGTCAGCGAGAAATGGTCACTTTCACAAATAAGCACTCCCAAAATACACACACGCACACACACAAACACACACACGCACGCGCACACACACATACATGCACACGCACGCACACACACGCACACGCACGCACACACGCGCACACGCACGCACACACGCGCACACGTACGCACACACGCGCGCGCTTGTATAATGATACATCTGTACAAAAATAGTACGATGTTTTTCACAAGAATTACGACCTTACATGTCTTTAAACACCTTATTGTAACGACATAGTCACTGCTGGCATAGAAAGTGTAAAAACTTTTACTAAAAAGCAAACTAACTGACAGTTATTTATTATCAAATATGCAAACTATTTATGTAAAACGATTAGATATAAATATATATATATATATATATATATATATATATATATATATATATATATATATCCAGGTCATAGAATCCAGATTAGGAAATTAAATAATCATAACCTACGAGAATAAAACTTGTTTTAGAGTTCCATACTATAAAGTTATAGGGGAACCATTATATTACGACTTTGTGCGTCCCTCTGTCCGTCTGTCACAGTGCTTTATCTCAGCAACTAATAATACTAACGATTTGTAATTTGTAATAGTTTTATATACATAATTACAGTAACGGTTGACCATTAGGCGGGCTGTATGACCGTTTGCCACCTTCGTGGTACAAAAAAAAAGCATACTCTTTATATGCTTTTTTTTTTATTATTGCAATGTAAATTTTAACAACTCCCAACTATCGGTTAAATTTAGCACTAAAAAATCTATTAGGAACATAAAATATAACTAAATATTGTGTCCCACAAAAAAAACCGGGTCGGCAACGCGCGCGTAATACTTGTTTGCCACCACAGTGGTATAAAAAAAAAAACCGACTGAAAAACTGTGAAAAAAACCAGTCGTTTCGATCTAAAAACTAAATGACTAAACCCATTTTGATAAAATTTCTATGTGACCACTCTTTTGATAAAAAAAAAGAAAAATTTCTTCTTTATCCTTTAGATATATCTTCTATTTTTATGAACATATATTTATTTATCTATATATGTAGGTATAATATATTGTATGTATATGTGTATGTGTGCGTAAGTATATATGCATAGATGTAGGTATGTATTTATGTATATGTGTATTTGTACGATTAAATATAATGTAATTAATTTAATTTTGACAGTTTAAAAATTGTACACTGCTGTATTCGCTGACATTGACTCTCCTTTCCACTTTGGGTGTTGCTGGATGAAAACTCTGTCAGAGTTAAGCTCGCCTTTGTACATTTGATTATCTCTGTCATATTCTTATAACTGGTGTGTACAATAAAGTATTAAATAAAAAAAAGATTTTTTCAAATCTGTTTAGAATTGACAGAGTTATAAGGCAACAATTATAAAAACTATATATAAACAGATTTAAAAGGTTTAAATACTTAAATACTCATACAGTTACAATTACCAATCAATACCAATACACCTGTAAATATTTATTTACATCAATTTTCAATACTCTACATTTTTGTTTTTTCAAAGGTTGACTGGTAGAGAATGTAAGCTGTCTAGCATTAAGTTCGCCATTTGTAATATTTTTGTAATATAATAGATATATATAATACACAATAAACAAAAAAATAAATATCTATAATATTACATATATAAATTACATATATAATATATGTAACATAAAATATTACATTTTATGTTACATACATTACATATTTGGAAATGTTGTGTATTATGGTAACCACAGATATCATTATAAGAAATACCTATTTTCTGATACTGTTGTTGTAACTGAATAAATAAAATAGTATAAAACAAAATTTAATTTCTTAATTAAATTTAAAATAGGGTGCAATTTAGAGAATTACTGACTTGGGTCTCAGAAATGTTAATCAAAGCATGAGGGCAATGTGGAGGTGACTCTATTATTTTGTCTATGATTAACAGTTACTGAGGTCACAATGTATTACTTTATCTATGATTAATATTAGCAGTTAATGGATACTTTCCATCAGGTGGGCCGTCTGCTTTATTGCTGTTACAAGTTGCATGACAAAAAAATTATGAAAATATCTTTACCAGAAATAGATAAAGTTTATTCAAATAAACTTGACTTTTATATTATTATTTTTTATAATATATAGCCAATATTTTTGTTTCTACCGCTAATTTTGTAATTATATTATTTGTAAAGTTAATTAGCTTGTATTTTATTTTTAATTTTAAGATATTTTCACAACCGTATAGATGTTGTAGTGTCATTTCTCAGAACCTATCTCTTAACTCAATTTCATAATTTCACAAATATTACTATTTTATAGACCATTTTAAACTATATTTTTAATAAATTTCACCTTAATCTATTAGAAATTTAGTTCTTAGTTTTCTTACCTTTAGTTCTTTACAGAATAAAGATATCACAGTAATGTCAAATTAAAATTACTTTTTTTAATTTTAGAAATAGATTCAGGACAATGGCATCTCAAAACAGGTCTCCTTTATCTAAAACTGTATTTAAAAAATTGTGGTAAATAATCTGTTAATTTTTTTTTTTTTGTACTTAGATGTCCTAAAATTAGGTTTCTTTATACAATTTTAAGGTAAAGGTTTGGTTAATTATTTATTGACCTTGCATTCCTAATCTGTCTGACAATTATATTATTCATTTGATTTATATATCTGTCATATGTCATTTGATTTATTAATTATTTATTACTATAATTATTAATATTTAAATCATACACTTATTTCTAATTTCTCTAATTTCAGAAAAACTTCAGGGATCTGTATAGAAACTGTATTAAGTGGCCAAGTTCCACAGCACATCAAATACACTACACATTATAAATTATGGGTATTAGTAAAATTACAAAATATTTGGAAGAACAAGAATTTATATGACTTTAGACTATTTAAATACATATATTTAAACTTAAATCAACAGGAGCAAAGGAATATGGTATAATTCCATATAAGTGAATATGGATAAATATGAATTGTAATAAATAATGGTATAAATTTTTAAATTTCTGATTCTGATTTATATAATTACCCAAAGGGATTCTATACAAAATAATACATTAAATATATATATGTTTTTTTTTTTATAATAAATTAGAATAAACTAAATGCTTATTAAAATTTTACTAAGTATATTAAAAATTTAAGCATATCACAAATAGGACAGTGGGTAACCCAAACATTTGTAAAAAATAAGAATGTAAATGAAGACTGTCTATGAATATACCTCGTGCTTGATCATATATATGATCATATTACCTAAAAAAAATTAACGGTGACGTAATAAGGGCTGCAGTATCGATTTTCCTACAATATTATTAAGTTTCGTGCAGCATATTTCCCAAATGATAGAATTCTATGACAAAATATCAAGACACTTACAGCACTTCTTGGAGAGGTTTCAATTCCTCAGAGTCTACGATACGGCCGTCGAAGAAGTCCGATGCACTTTTCTTGTACGCATAATATTTTTCGATACACGTTTTCGCCTTCTCGACATCTCCGTAGCAGGCATTATAAAACAAAATCAATTGCTTGTCGGTCAAATCCTTGGGAACGTATTTAGATTTATCCAATTTCACGGACCAATCCCTTAAACTATTAATATCATCTTGTGAGAATTTATCCATAGAAGCTGTCCTGGCAGCATAATCGAACTCTAATTCAACGGGCATTTTGTTCTAGTAATATTACAGGAATATTTTACGTAAATAAACACGACACGGCTATTATTGTTTAATTATATGACCGCACTTTATTGCAACAATTTGACAACTAACTTGATTCTTGAATGAACTCGATATTTGAATACTTACTGGAATGGACCTTGAACTGACACATAGATAATAAAAGATAAAGTGATCCATATGCGATCAAGTAAATTGAGTGTAAACAATTATTCTTATGCGTGTACGACAGAAACAGAATAATAATAAAAACGTTTAGCCCTATAATGTTTCCGCCATATTCTTAGGAAATTTGCAGGTGGTTATCTGAAACAACAAAATATATATGTCAAGCTTCTCAACAATCTCGAGCATAAACAGAGAGAACCAGTGTTGCTAGCTATTATTTATAGCAAATGTTGTTTTAGTGTAAAAAAAAAAAAGCATAATTAGTTGAAAGTATTTTTTGATAAATCTACAAACTAAATAATGATATCTCAGGTTATAAGTGATACCCATTACGTACTGATTACTTGTTCTATGACTACTACTTGTATAAAATCTTCAAATTAAATCTGTACTAATATTATAAAAGTGTACTTGTTTATTTGTTACCTTTTAAATCTTTAACTGAAGTTACATATATTATCTCTTTATTTTTGAAATGGAAACTCTTAACTGTAATGTAAATATTAGTAATTTATATTTCAAATATGAAAGTAAGATATTCGAATGTTTAAATGTTCAAAAACCTGAACTAATTTTAATAAATTTAATACACAGATTATATCTTTACCAGATTAATGCGAGCAATACTGTGAGAAATGTAACAGAATTTTCTAAATAGTCGTTGCTAAAATTTTATTACATTGACAATTTATCGAATCCAAATTTTTGTTTCTATTTCAATTTCAATTAAAACTCAGTCCTCACCTTTTGAGATAGTCTTTTTGCATAATTTTTAAATTCCTGTTAATTATCTAGTTAACTTTCTGTTAATTAGTTAGTCGAAAATGTATGTTCATATTTTTAGAACTAGTTCGTAACTCTAAATTTTTTTCTCTTTACAAGAAATATAATTAAATTTTTTATTTAAAAAATTAATCAAAAATAATAATATTGACTAATCTTGCGATCAGTCTTCTGTTATCAATAAATATCAAAGCGTTGTTATCAGATATGCTCAAACAAGCAAGTTTATAACAACATTTAATAATTATATGCATTTCGAATTGATAAGTTGATAACTTATCATTTTTAAATGCACATAATTATACCTACCTAATGTAATATATTATATATTACTAAACATTACAAAGTAAATTTATGTGCAATTATGACTTTCTAAAAACATCAAATCTAATGGCAAAAGAATATAGGAATAGTTTTGTTTTTAATAGATAATCATGGAATGGCAACCCCGCCTGCGCTAGCGGTATACGCTGGCAGATTACCAGTGATAGATAATAGATGACAATAAAAAGATAGGTCAGTTAGCCCGTCGTAATGATTATACCTGGAATTTAGCACGATGGTTTCCAGGGGGGGACCACATGGAATTCGACCTGTTAGCCCTTTTCCCCGGTACATTATAACTATACCTATACAGTTTGTTTTGACAGAACTTTATAAAAATTCAAACAAACGAATAATTGATCCAACTATAGAATTGTCTGCTAACATCAAATAGTAGTACTAAATAAAAAATCGATTTAGGTATTTTTCGATTTGTTGCTAATTACATTTAATGTTTTATCTATGTATTTAATAGGAAAAGAAGAGATTTGTATATGGAATATCTTTGCAAAAAGTTTTTTTAAAAAGCCTGATCTAAAAAATGGAAATAATATGTATCTGTAATATTTATACCTAGCTGTATCCCGTGGCTTCACCCACATGAATCTATATTAATAATATAAATGTGAAAGGCAATTTGTTTGTTGCCTTATAGCGTCTTAACAGCTTAACCAGTTACTATGAAATTACACGTTATACATGGGATGGAAAAGGATATACGAGTAGATTAATGTTTTCCGATTAATAAACATATCCCGGTCACGTAGATGAAATCACGGGTAAAAATTAGTAAAATATCGTAGAGGTGATGATCGGATGTAATCTACTAGTGTACCATCGGTGTACCAGTTTTTTTTTTATGGGTAAAAATGGTATGGTAACCCCGCCTGCGCTAACGGGATACGCTGGCGGAGCACCAGTGAAGGGTGATAGATGAGAATGAAAACAGGCCAGTTAGCCCATCATGATAAATTCATCAGGAATTAACCACGATAGTTTCCAGGGGGAACCGCGAGGAGGTCGACCTGTTTGGGTATATTGCTAGTTATAATGAAATTCTCATCTCCATTACTAACAATCCCTTTCCCCCCTCGGTGTACCAGTTAGTTGTTAGTAGTTTTTACACCATTATATACTTTATAATTTTGATAGGATAGGGAAAATTATTAATGAGAACTAAACTTTACAGAACTTGATTAGAAAATATCTGTTTTTAATAATATAAAATGTAATTGGTTACGGGAATAAAATAAAAGAAATTGAACTTTCTATAAAAATATAATTTTAATTAAAATACACGTATAAAATACAAGTTTTGACTCAAAGCCAAAATAACAATTATATAAACGAATATTACATTTTTTTATATGTTATAAAAATCTATTTCAATATTACAAATAAATATTTAGCTTCTCAAAAGTTGACTGTAAGAAATCCCTCTATGGGATAAGTTCGTCATTACATATTAAATCTTTCAATGAGTCCAATGTACATTATGTACAACAAAGATCTTTATAATTTATAATACAATATAAAAACTCACTTTACTGTTAGTAAACACACACTCGCATAATAATTATATAAAATTACTATACAAATATATACCAGTAAGAGACCAGAGATTTTTTTTTTTTTATTTATTGTGACTTTGGCGAAAGCCATCAGCCAAAAAGTAACAATTACAAGGTAACAATATAAAATTACAAGACAAATTACAAAAATTATTATAGTTATAAATTAATTATAATATACTAAGAAAATAAGTTAAGTAGAAAAGTATAAGTTACAATTACATATTTAAATTTCACCAATTGTTGAAGTAATAAGACCAGAGATAAAAACATAGACAGATAGACTCCTTGTTAAATTATCTATAATAAATATGTTGCCACAGTAAACCTTTTTTGAGTTTGTTGTTGAGCATGTTTAAGTCATACATGCATTTAATATCTTATTTAACTACATTTCTGAGCACATTTTAACTAATACGTATTTTACACAGGCAACATTGACATTTTACCCATAATCTATGTACAATTTACTTATTAGTAAATATTGTAATACATTGTCCCTCTGTTTAATGAAAGCAGATCAGTAGAACTAGGATCAATAGTTATAAAGTTGTCAATTCATCACGATAGTCTACATTAGTAATTTAAGCAAACAGTCTTATAAGTTTAATATGTCAATACAAAATAGTACAAATTAAAAAAGAAAATATAAAATAATGTTTATAAATTACAAATGCGAAGGAAACAGCTATGTTACAGTAGTTATATTATATACAAACGGCTATTAAATGAATTATGGACGTAACTGGAAAGCTAAATGACTCTGTACTCATTATTTCAAAATAATTGCTGTTTATATTTATTTCTTATTTTGTTGTAATTAAAAATTGAAAATAAATTTTTCCTAGAAGATTTTTTTATAAATATGTATAGTAAAATTACTCTAATAATTATTTAAGAAACAAAAAACAAAAAAAAATTATTAAATATACCTTGAAACTACAAAAATTGAGAATTACCAGTATAAATATAAACTACTATAATAGTAGTTTATATTTATACTAATATCATAAATAGGAAAGATTTGAAGTTTGTAATGAATAAATTTAAAAACGACTAAAGCCATTTTGAATATTTTTTTTATCTTTACAATGCTACCTTATCAACGAGTGACATAGGCTATATCTATATATTATTTTCGAAAATTCTATCTAGGTACTTATACGAAACTAGTAAGTACATATATTTTATTTTATTACAAAAAAATTGAAGTGTGCAATATTACTTACTTTTTTTACAAAAACAATTACAATCCCTCCAAAACAATCATTAATGTTTATTCTTTGAGCGGTGTAGACTTTTTATGGCATTAATTTACATTTACATATATACGTGTGTTTAATATTTATGTACATTTAATTTCCTACAGTTTCCTTCCCAAAATAACTTACACGCTACACCAAATCGTGATTGATAATTGTAATAAAAATTTTAAAAATATTTCATCCCAAAATTGTTATGTCTAATAACACATAAGATAGTGTTGACCAAACTTTAGTCTATGGCTAGACTTTTAAATGAATCCTCCACTTTGTCTCCTTTCTTGCCGGGCAACACAGCGAATCTCTGCGCCTCTTCAGCTTTGAAATAAGGTTCCAAGGTTCTCAATGTTTCAATGCATTGCTTATGGAGGGTCTGGGTATCTGGGAGAGTGCCTCCAAAATCGGAAGGAAGCGACGACCTTGGGATGATATTAGTGTAGAAATCTTCTAAGTTCTCGTCCTTTTGATGGAATTTTAACTGAAATTAAAACATAATTATTTTCTGCTGTTACTAAATAAACTCTTTAAAAAGGAGAACTTCTCGATTTAAATGATTATTTTATGCACTTAATAGGGGTTCCATACTAATTTTGTCTTAATCGAAGTAGCTGTTTTTTTTTTTTAGAAAATATACAAAAGGCAGATTTAGTGGTGATAAAGATTTATCAGCATTAAGTCTGCTATATTACATATATATTATTATTATAATGATAAGTAAGTCATTATCAGCACTAAATTTGCTTTTCATACCATATTTTTTTTGGGCAAAAAAGTTATTTAAAAAGAGAAATAATTAAAAAACAAAATTGATAAATGTATTAAGGAAGCCAAACAGGACTATTTGACTATTTGAATTATTTCTGCCTACCTCGATGGGGGATAAGCGTGACAGATATGTGTATATGTGTGTGTAAATAAACAAATAATTTTATATAACAAAAAGTAGCCATATTTTGCAGTTTATCCATATGAATTAAGGTCAATAATATGTTATTGTATAAACATAAACTTACAATGTCGAATAATTTCTTATCCATAAACGGCTTGATGAGCAACATCAGTTTGTCGACTATCGGCTCCGAATTCAATACGTGGATTTCCTTCATCCGAATTGGTAATGCCTCTTGAGTGTACTGAAAGTACTTGCGAAGGTAGCTGCAAATGATTAACTCCTTAATACCAATTCTCTGCACAGTGTCAAACCAAATAATATTTCTCGTTTGCTCTATACCAGTGTTGAAACGGGCTTCCTAAAAATTCTCATTTTTGAACCGATTTCAATGGTTATTTGGTCCATTTTGTATTCATTCTAGGATTCCTAACTATATTATTTTTAATATGAGTATTGCCACCTTTTTTGTTAAGTATAAATGTAGCTATTTTTATGCGGAGTTAACTATATTGCTCCCATTTCACATACTTTTTCACACATATAAACTACTATTAAAATTTAAGAGAAATACAAAAAATATAACGTTATAATAAATATGTCAACATTATCTATAAGACTTTAAGAATAAATTAAAAGAAGCGAAATAAGATGATTTCATATTATTTCACTTCTTTTATTTGCCTTTATTACAGTTATCACTTAAAATGCTAAAAAAAAAAGTAAAAAATTTTTTTACTTAATAACTAGCCATCAAAATTAAAATTTATTTTAAATTTATAATTTATTTCATTCAAAACTTTTATATTGTAATCATTATTATTATTCTTTTCAAAAAGGCGAAGAGTCAAAAAGACTATAAATTCATGAAATTTCACACACTACTAAAATAAAATGAATTTAATAAAATCAACAATACATACGATAATCCGCAACGTGTTAAATGTCCCAACTTCACACCTCGCATGTCGTACAAGAAGATAACACCTTTTTGTGGCCCACATTTTGTCAAATAGGAATCTGGAAGAAAATATCCATAGTAGTAGATTATTTTCAACTGGCAACATTAATGACGTCCTCTAATGAAAAAAAATTGGTGATTGGTTGAGCAGTTATGGCGCCAAAACAAGTTTGTTTATTGTAAACCTGTCAGATTCTTATGTAGGTTCCTACTAATATATATATATATATATATATATATATATATATATATATATATATATATATATATATATATATATATATATATATATATATATATATATATTTTTTTTTAATTAGCATGCATGTGTTAATTTTGAGGATTTTTGGATCTAGAAAGAATATCTGAATATTATATCTAATTATACAATTTAAAACTCAATATTTCTTTGCGAAACATTATTGCACCTATCTAGTTATCAATGGAAAGTTTTTGTTGTTACCAAAAATACTGTACGTGTTTATGGTATCAACGTTAGCTTGCTCGACCAGATTGCGTTGCAATAATTCATGTGAGTTTTTCTCCAAAATTATCTACACGTTTACCGTTTGCAATATTTTAAGAAATTGGTTTCAAGAACAAAATTCTCAACTCAACGCTGAGACTTGTAAGCATCACGTAATCTCGCGAAGGTATTACTTAATCAGAGTCGTGGGATATAATCTGTCGTTCTACTCAAGAAGATTGACATCATTTTTAATGTAATCCGATGAAAAAAAAGATGATTCGAGCGTTTAATAAAGCATACTTAGCTAGAGAGATATTAAAGCAAAGACGTAGTATAACGCACTTACGTGCTCATAACCTAACCTCCTGGGGGGAAGGGATTATTAGTAATACCCCCCCTGGAAACCATTGTGCTGAGTTCTTAGTGTATTCATCACGATCACTGACTGACCTGCCTTTTCATCCTCACCTATCATCTCTTACTGGTGCCCCGCCAGCGTATACCGTTAACGCAGGTGGGGTTACCATTCCATAGTCAGTCAGTAAAAAAATCTATTTAAACAGGTGAAATGAAATCATAAGCATTCGTTGAATTAAGTGGATTTTTTTTTTTGTTTTTTACAGAAACATAGATAAAAGAAAACAATAATTTAGAACCTGTAACAAATACCTATTTACATCTAGTAATTTTATTTCAATTTTTTGTCGTTATCTCGACAACTGTGGGTATAGATTATACAATAATATATTACCTTTCAAAATACAAGGAATTAAAGATGTATGATTAAAAATATTTACAAGGTTTCAACCAAGGAATATAATATTTCTCCAGCCGGAGCTGGTACTAAAGACGTTCCTTTACAAACAAACAGAGCACTATGGCTGTATGCAGTCATACGCATTGAAGTTAGGTTAGTTGACCATTTTTTTTTTTTTGGGGAAACTTCCATTCCCTAAAGAATGGAGATTTTGATTTCACCAGTATACGAGTACATAATTTTTTTTTACACATTTCTGCCAAGTTCGATGGAAATATGAAACTAAGAAAGACCATAGATATTTGTTATCTATGACTTCGAAAACTGAATCTCACCAATTGTCATAAAAAGCAGCCTGCATCCAAGCTCGAAGTTATACTTTGATGGTTCAGTGTCGTGGAGCCTGTGGAAGATGATGTCGTAGCCCGCGACAGACTTGCCTGGCAGCACCGAGAACTCGCTGTATCAAAAGATTATCATTATTTTTACATTAAAATAGTAACATGAATTTAATTTAATCTAGGACGAATAATGGTCGTGGCGCGGGGGGAGGGGGGGCTGAAAAACTTAACAGTCAGTTACTAACATAACGGGAACTAAAATATTAGTAATTTACTGGATATCTATATTGGGTGAGGGGAATTGTTAGCAATGGGATATAACAGTCCCATTGCTAGCAATATAGGGTGTATTGCTAGCAAAGTCAGGTCGATTTTCATACAATTCCCCCTGGAAACCCTCGTCCTTAATTTTTATCGAATACAATACGATGGGCTAACAAGCCTCTTTTCATCCTTAACCAACATTCTGACCTGACCGACCTTTCCGATCCTGACATAATTATATGTTTATTTATTTACTTATTTATTTATCTCTTTATTGTACCAGAAACATAAAAATATACAATAGCAATTATAATACTTCAAGTGAAATACAGTAGCAATATAGTACAAATTAAAATATATACATAAAGGTACAACAGGTAGTCTTATCGTTAAGGCAATCTTATGTCACTATCCATTATCTCTTCTACATTGCCAAAATTTAATAATCTAAGCTATCTACGGTCTCACAGATAAAGAAACGTAGATAAGAGAACTATTATTTTGTCTATGGTATAAAATATTTTTTTTTTTAAAACAAAATAATAATTGTTTGATTCCAGGATAGTGAAAAAAAAGTTTAACAATATTTTTTAATAAAAAAAATTAAAAACTATAAATAAATATGCACCTACTCAATTTATATTTATATCTATTATTATAGTTTTCTAATAGATACAGTTTTATTAATCACCTATTATTTTATTTTATTTTTACTTGGCCTTAGTAAACAAACTTATCTAAGTAAAAAATATTTTAACAATTGAATTAATACGATTAACACAGGCAATATCTAAAGCTTATTTTGAAATAGATATAATAATTTGTATATAAAGACTGTAGCGTTAGATAAATAGATGATTAATTACTTTTATTTTGTTTCACAAACGTTATCAAGTTAATCAAGTTACAAAGTTTAATATTATGATTGATGTAACAGTAAAATAAAAAAGATTACGATAAATTTATACTTTATACCTATTAATATTATATATAATTTGCACGTGCAATGATATATTTTTTATACAACATGAAATAGTAAACAAGACGGTTTGCCTGATGGAAATTCGTCACCTGATGGTAATCGTCACCTATAGACATAAATAGCATCATAAATGTCACAGAATACACTGTATCGCCAATGGTAGATATATCTCATGCCTTGTTACTTCTAAGGATTAGGTGTCGTACCTTCGTAGCCAGTATCTTTTTTTAATTATATCTATATATTTTTATTATTATTATATCAGTCGTGAATTGTTCACTGCCAATAGTTGCCACGCTTGGTGGTTTAGCAGCCGCAAGTAGGTTTTGGTAACGTTTAAAAGGGACACTGCTACCTCGACCATTAGAGCGGGAAAGAAAAGGGTGGCGTATTTTATATTGGGACCACATGGAAATCAACACTATTATAAACTAAACATCTTTTACATTTTTATAATAATTAGTATTAGATTTGCCAAAGTAAAATTGTGTGGTCTGCTTGGGTACAATTGTACCCAAAAATTGTTGCTTTTTGAAACTGTGTTTCGATTTGAAGAATGGAATCTTAGGGTGGAATATAACAGTGAAATTATAAGGTATGGAGGCAACAATCCATAGAATGGGTTGTTTCAGTAAATATATATATATATATATATATATATATATATATATATATATATATATATATATATATATATATATATATATATATATATATATATATATATATATATTATGTAGAAATTGTCGTGAAATTTATTGAATATAAATTTATAATAACATTATTTGGTATTTTATACTAACTCACTTCTCTCGTAACGCAGCTAACCTACAAATAACTTTCACCGCGTATCTACATACATGGTTTTATTTGCATAAAGTGTGTCACACAGATGTTTTAACCGACGGTCATTTTTATTAGTTACTATAAGTACTATAACACACAACGGTACAGTTAAATTATAATTCTACTCTCACTTTATAATAAGAGAGAAAGATGTTGTGTAATTCTAGAACCAAAGTCACCGATATAGACCGAAGAATAAGCAAGCTGAAGTGGCAAAGGCCTGGTCATGGAACCGACAACTGATATGGAAGAAAGGCTCTTAAGTTGCACGTACAGGAAAACGCAGCTTATGACGACCCAAACTTGATGGGGTGACGATCTTAAATGCATTGCAGGGAGTCAATGGATGCAGGTGGTTCAGGACGGGGGGAAAGGAATTGTTAGTAATGGAGACTGAGAATCCTATTGCTAGCAATATACCCAACCAGGTCGACCTCCTCGCGGTTCTCTTTGGAAACTATCACGGTTAATTCCTGACGAATTTATCATGATGGGCTAACTGGCCTGTTTTCATTCTCATCTATCACCCTTCACTGGTGCTCCGCCAGCATATCCCGTTAGCGCAGGCGGGGTTACCATACCATTTTCACCCATAAAAAAAATATATACGAAGATTAAAAAATTACATACAATTGTCGACATTTTGATCTTTTATTTGATATCACGTGATGGTATACACTTATGGTATGTTACTGTAATACGGTAAAATATAAAGACGCCCGATAACTAAATTTCTTTAACATCCAAAACTTACAAAATTGTCGGACGTTATTGTTATATAAATATATTTATTATTTATTTAACTCTTTATTGCACTAAAAACATAAAAAATCTACAATGATAATTAGAAAATTCAAGTGAAATGCAGTGGCATAAACCACCAGAGGGAGACTTTGTAGAAAAGTCGATTGCTTGGGTACCTCTGTCCCATTCGTGTTTCTACCGTGAAGCAGTTGTGTTTGTATGGCTGTGTTTCGGTTTGAAGGGTGGGATATGGCGTGAATTTACAGGGTACAGAGGAATAATACCTGAATCTCCAGGAATGGCAACGCATTGGGGGTATCATGAGCGAAACAGTGTACTCTGTTATGTCCATGGTATTGCTCATGTCTATTGGCGACGGTTACCACTTTCCATCAGTGTGGCCGTCAGCTTGTTTGCCATTCTAAGTTGTATAAAAAAAAGTACAGATTAAAATATGTACTTAAAGATACAAAAGGCAATTTTATTAATAACACGACTATTAAATTGTTAACTGTCTCAATATGATAGATCAAATATAATGATTAACCTAATCGCTGAATCCTCTAGTTATTTTGAAGCAATCTATTTATTACTTAATCAGACTAATCTAGGATTAATGGCATACCATTAACTTATACAAATGGGGGAAGGGATTGTTAGCAATGGAGTTTGACAGCCCCATTGCTAGCAATATGCCCTATCAGGTCAACCTCCACGTGGTTCCCCCTGGAAACCATCGTGAACAATTCTCGTTGAATTCGTCACGATGGGCTAACTGACCTGCTTCATCCTCACCTATCATCCTTCACTGGTGCCCCGCCGGTGTATAGCGATAGCGCGGGTGGGGTTACTATTTCATTATCACCTATAAAAAAAAAATAACTTATACAAATAGCTAAAAACCTCTGCATTAATTTCTGTAATATAGAATAGGATATAAAAAAGGATACTTTATCCTTTTTATACCACAAAGGTGGTACAATCATACAGCCCGTCTGATTGTAAACGGTCACTGTGGGGAGAAGGGATTGTCAGTAATGCAGATTACCAGTCTCATTGCTAGCAATGTAGACCAACTTTCAGGTAGACCACCACATGGTTTCCTCTGGAAACCATCGTACTGAATTCCACGCGTATTCTAACTGACCTACCTTTTCATTTCACCTATCATCCCTTATGTGTTACCATCTCATTGTCATCCATTAAAAAAAAAAGGTATCCTATGGACGCCTGCAATACGAAGGTGTCTGTAGATATCTGAACATAAACACTGCGCTCAAATGACGAAACTCCAGCAAAAAGGTGGCAAATACGTCTAATTGTGGATACCGGAAACATTATTATTACTTACAGGGCTTCCGTCAGGGGTTTCAGTTCATCCGAAGTGACATAACGATTGTCGAAGAATTCCGACGCGCTTTTTCTATACGAATAATACTTTTCTATACACGTTTTCGCCTTCTCCATGTCTCCGTAACAGCCGTTGTAAAATAAAACCAACTGTTTATCGCTCAAATCTTTAGGGACATATTTAGATTTATCCAAATTCACGGTCCAATTTCTTAAAGCATCGATGTCGGCTTGAGAGAACTTGTCCAAAGCGGCGGTCGCTGCAGCATAATCGTACTCCAATTCGACGGGCATTTTGAATTAATTTATTATTCTACGTATATAAACACGACGTCTTGTTATGTTATAAACGTACACCCACTCTCCACAACAAGAGTTCAACAACTGACTCTCCAATCAAATTCGTGGCGGCTACCAAAACTGTCTATTTTATGTAGAAAGTGTTAAACCAGTGTTTGCAGTGTTGCAACGTTAGTTAAAAAAATTAATACTAAATTTGTATTTTAGTTTTGTAGTAAAAAGGTAACTATAAAATTTATTTTTTATTATTTATTTATTGATGAAACTTGAATACACCCAGAGAATGTAAATGGCGGACTTAACACCACATGGCGTTATCTACCAGTCGACCGTAGACAGGAATAACAGAAAATATAATTGACGATGCAACGTGATTAACAATATTAATTTAAAACAGTAATTAAAAAATAAATAATAATAATAATAATAAATAAAAAAAATATATATTAGTTAGGTAGGTAAGTAAATCTTAATTTGTTTTTGCAAAGGTTAGCAAATCATTTAAGCACCTGTAAATAACTAAATGCGGTTGACTAAATTGTATAAATATATAACCACATAAGAAATGATTCTTGAGTGGTGACCTCGTACAGACAAACGCAGTGTAATAAAAAAGTAGTTGACATATTTGTCATTATTTTACCATATATGATTGATTTACGCTTTAATATATCTGATGGCAAGGAATTGGATCGGTTCCCTGCCGACACCGACACACGTAGCAGCCACGGACTTTCCAAAAAAGTAGTTGACTATATTAATTTTGGGCTAGTTTAGTATATTGTTGACAACACTGTATTTAATTGAATATTTGATAGTTTACAACGACTAGACATTGGACTGATAATTCTAAGCCCCGCAACCTATAACACGTTGTCAAACAAGCATCGCGTCGCGTGAACATTCATTGTTACATTAGCTTTTACCCGCGACTTCGTCTCCGCGAGTGAAGCATGTTGTTTGGCCAGGATAAATAGTAACCAACCATTTCATCCCAACCATCTGGACGAGTGGCGGTCCTCCACTGTGCGTTTTTCAAGGCACTTTCTCCCACGCACAACCACTCTTTAGAATCAACTTTCAGCAGCAGTATTTCCGAACCGATACGACAACATAACCTTCAAGAAAAGAACATATTCCTTTTTAAAAGGCCGGCAGCACACCTGCAATGCCGTAGGTGTTGTGGGTGACCATGGGCGGCGGTAGTCACTTACCATCAGGTGAGCCGCATGCTCGTTTGCCTCCTGTGTTGTAAAAAAAAAATAGTAACCTATGTTTTACACCATCCTATGTTGTAAGCTGTATGAACCCGGCATAGAATGGGCCACCCTTGCCTTTCCTGTGAGTGTCGTAAGAATCGACTAAGGTCACTCTTAATACATCACCAAATCCTAACTACAGTTGCCAGGGGGAAAGGGATTATTAGCAATGGAGTTTGACAGCCCCATTGCTAGCAATATGTCTTATTAGGTCGACCTCCACGTGGTTCCCCCTGGAAACCATTGTAAACAATTCTTGTTGAATTCGTCACGATGGGCTAACTGGCCTACTTCATCCTTACCTATCATCCTTCATTGGTGCCCCGCCGGTGTATACCAATAGCGCGGGTGGAGTTACCATTCCATTATCATCCATTAAAAAAAAATCTATGGAATTGATCGTAAGACTGTTTTTTCTTTTATTTAAAGGCATTCTACAATACTGGCCAGTATGTTTATTAATATAAATAAAAAAGTATTTATTCTCTATCGTTCCAGCAATTCAAGACTCACAGATTACACCATATTCTATTTCCTCGGTATTGCTTATTCGTCATCGATAGGTTAGAGGTATCATTATCCTTATTTTTAATATCTATTATTTATTTATTTTATGTCTTGTATTTTTAATATACCATATATATTTTCAATATATCATCATATTGATAATACATGTCATAGTTTTTTATGTAAAAAAATTTGGGTGGAAATGGCATGGTAACCCCACCTGTAACATCGGTATATACTTGCGGGGTACCAGTGAGAGGTGATAAATAAGGATGAAAGGCAGGTTAGTTAGCCCATCGTGACGAATTCAACGATAAATTAGTCATGATAGTTTCCAGGGGGAATCGCCTGAATTGTCGACCTGATAGGGTTTTTTTATAGCAAATCTCCCTATTACTAACAATCCCTTCCCCCCCCTTCATACATTGCATTCCTAAGGTCTACGGTGTTATGCCTTGCAAAGACAGCTTCTTTAAATTAAAAATACAAGTATATAAAGGTACCTAAGCAGACTACTTTTGTACGAAATCTCTTGTAAAGATAAATTATTTAACAAGATAAGAAAAATTGATAACGTATTTCAAAAAGAGAGACCTAATTCCACTATATTTTTAATCTGTGTAGTGTGTACTTATATGACATAAAATCTTTTCAAATTTTCAATTATTTTTAATCATTATTTTTTATCGACATAAAAGTCGGTTTTATAAGACAAAATTTAATCACAAAAAAAAATTAATAACCTAGGCCGTTTATCAACTTTAATCATATTTTCCATTAGAGATTATTCGGAATTAACAATTGACAAATTATGATAAAAATAAATACATACGGCATGTTTTATACCTACAATAATGAATGTAAATAAGAATTGCTTGTATGTATATACATATATATGTATACATACATATATATGTACACATACATATATATGGAAATATTCGCTTGCACTTGGGATCAGCATTATATTATTACTAAGTCCACGCAAACAATTTCATTATTTTTTTTTTATTTCACATGTTGTGGGCGACAAAGGAAACCAGGAATGGAAATTGGAAATATATGGATAATGGTCAAAGTAACTTAGAAGACTAGGGCCGACAAGGCAAGCCGAAAGGAAACAATAGATATGCGTGTCAATTTCGAATTTGGCAAATAATAATATATAGCTATAAATAATATACGTGGCCTGTACTCCACACATGTACATAGTCGATAAATATTATTTCCGCCATGTCGGTCCCGGCATAGAATGGGCCACCCATTCCTTTCCCGTGGGTGTCGTAAGAGGCGACTGAGGAGAGCAAGGGATGGGCAGCGACGTCTCTCTTAAAACATCTCTATAAGCCTAACTGCGGTTGCCAATCCGCCTGCCAAGCGTGACAACTACTGGCAAAAATTCTACTTATAGGGACTACAATTAACGGCGGAAATAATAATAGTCGATAAAAACGTACTCAAGAAAAATATGAATAGATAATATAATTTTTTTTATACCACTGAGGTGGCAAACAAGCATACGGCCCACCTGATGGTAAGCGATTAGCGTAGCCTATGAACGCCTGCAATACCAGAGGCATTACGCTCGCGTTTCCGACCCTGAAGAAACTTATATTAATAATTTACTACGTTCAAATTGTAAGCTGAAAATATACAAAGGATATTTAATGGATAACCCATTAGTTTTATCCATTATTTTAGGATATGTTACAAATTGACTGACATTAAAATAGTAGCGTGTGTCCTTTTCTATCCTAAATACTTATTTATATGATGTTTAATTAAATAACATAAATTCATTAGAATTTATGCAGCTGTAGCACGTGTATGGATGGGTAAATGTTATGTCGTGCGAGAGTGTATATGTATGTATGAAGGAGAGCGCGCGCGCGTAAGTGCGTGTGCGTGCGTGCATGCGTGCGTGCGTGCTTGCGTGCGTGCGTGCATGTGTGTGTGCTTAATGTTAAAAATAATATTAAAATCTGACCACCAGGTTCTATGGCGACTATAATTGGAAGTCAAACAAATCAAATACTCAAAATATATTGTGAAACGTAAGTATTTAGTTTAGTAATGCTGAACTCCAGTGTTCAGTAAAAGTAATTGACACGGTGCTTTGCGTATTCCCTTGAGTTAAATTTTCCGTCAAGCAAATTTATGAAAGGAACTTACCAAGTAGCTAATAATCTATAATAGCTAATAATAACGAATTTAATGATCGAGCAATGGACAGCAGCGTCCCTCTTAAAACCTAAGTACGGTTGCCAATTCACATATGAAGCGTGGCAACTACTGATAATGCCCTCCTAATTAGGAAAGTCTATAATCATTCAGCATAGTTTGTTCAGTATTTATTCATTTAAGTATAAAGTACCAACTTTAATTACAGTTTTCTGCAAAATATAATAAGCCATAGGCCGAAAATAGATTTTAAAAATAATTTTTAATTATTTTACAATATTCAGTAAATTTTATTGAGTAGTCATAAAGAAATAACAATTATCAAAGCATTCCATTTATTATCCGCAAGTGAGCGATAAGCAATGAATGATTGAATATTTATTTATAATCCAACCAGCTGACATAATGTTTGAAAACAATATTTTATGAGCAAGACCGCTAGGAAAAAATCCAGAGTCTTTTTTGCAGCAAGCAGTTGTGTTTGCATGGCTGTGTTTCGGTTTAAAGGGTGCGATATGGCAGTGAATTTACTGGGTACAGAGGAATAACACCCGAGTCCTCAGGAATGGCAACGCATGGGAGGTATCATGGGCGAAACAGTATACTCTGTTATGTGCATGGTACTGCTCATGTCTATAGGCGATGGTTACCACTTTCCATCAGGTGGGCCGTCAGCTTGTTTGGCATTTTAAGTTGTATAAAAAAATAAATAAAAAAATAGTTTATATTGGTCCTTAGAATGAAGATAAATAATAATAATAGATAGATAGATAGATAAATAAATAAATAAATTTTGCTTACAATCAAAATATCAAATTGAAATTTGAATTTCAGAAATACGACGTCCTAGCATCGATATTATTGATTACATTCTATCTAACGGACTTTAGAACGTTTGCCATTTTCAGCCTAATAGAATAAAGTAAACGTGTAATGTCCCTGGTATTGCAGGCGTTTGTAGGCTACGGTAACCACTTACCTTTAGGTGGGCCGTATGCTTGTTTGCCACCTCAGTGGTATAAAAAATGTGTATGACATTCGAGGAATGATCGACTGTAGTGAAATTTTTTAAGGGTAATATATATAATAATTAGTTTACATAAGATTTTATAAATAAAACAAGCTAAGTTAAGCCATAACAAGCCACACAAAGCCACGTCAAGCCATTTT